AACCTTGTCAACTTATCATGTTTGAACAAAATGTAGGTCTAAGAACAAAATTTCCCCCAGGTAGAAAAATAGTCTGTCTCTAAATAAGTGCAGTCACTGCAGTCGGTCTTAAAAGCATGCATCACCGTCTTAATGAATTAATGAGGTAAACAAATAATGCCAGAATAGATCTCAAATACTAGTCGGTCGCAAAATCAGTGCAGTCGGTCGTAAGATATGAGCAGTCGGTATCAAAATAAGTGCTCACTGCAAACGTCACTCGACTCACGCAAAACTTTAGTATAAAATAACCTTGTCAACTTATCATGTTTGAAAAAAATGTCGGTCTCAAAAAAAAGTGCTCACCGCAGTCGGTCTCATACTAAATGAATTAATGGGGTGTTTTCTGACCATCAATATTCTGCAAAATCTCTCCCCAAAGTCCAGGGCATTTCAGAGACCAAGTAAGCGCCCCAGTGAGGTAAAGTGCCCTCAGGCCCAGTCCTCAAAAATTAAAAGCTCAGCTACATATCGGCGCTCAATTCCATTTGCCATGACATTGAATAAAATTGTCAGGCCCAGTCCCAAAAATTAAAAGCTCGGTTACACATCTGAATTTTTTTCGCGCCTGCGGCGCTCCATTCCATTATAACATCATTCTTCCACTCCTCTGTTGTCTTATACTGTCTCAGCACTATCATATTCACGGTTATATTGATCTGCCTAGTTATGTTAGTAGTACCACTGGCACTGGTGTGTGGGGCGTCAGGCTATACAAAAGTTCTTGCAAAACAGGCGGAATTGACAGGGGCAGATCTCGAGATTTTGTCTAATTGACTCACATTTCTGATCCACAAGAATTTCTCCAAGCAATGACCTCAAATGCCAAGATATTGACTTTCCAGCGAGACAACGATCGGCAAACAACTATATAATTATACAATACCACCTATGTTCTACCGGGACGCTTAATGTTATATCCAGTATTTTGTCGACATTCATTGTGGGGTGGAATTGTGGCTGGGCTTGCGCCCTAGATTTGGACCCCCACCCCCACCCCTATCTAGATCCGCTACTGCACATGGCCCCATCAAAACCCGCACCTGTGGTGCTCGGCTCCTGACTGCGTCACTCGTACTAGGAGTATGGGCATCAGTCGGTCGCATTTTGGCTAAACACCCCACCGCCCCCAAACAAAATCGTTATATACGCCCCTGATGCAATGATATATTTATAATATGTAATGCTATTTGTTTAAAATATGTAATGTTACCTATTTATGATATGCAATGATATATTTATAATATGTAATGTTATTTATTTAAAATATGTAATGTTACATATTTACAATAAATAATTTTAACTGTTTATAATATGTAATTTTATATGTTTATAATTTGTAATGTTACATGTTTACAATATGTAATGTTACATGTTTACAATATGTAATGTTACATGTTTACAATAAGTTACATGTTTACAATATGTAATGATGCATGTTTACAATAAGTTACATGTTTACAATATGTAATGTTACATGTTTACAATATGTATGGTCATAGAAATTTTCAGATTTTCGTGCCGTACATGTTAGAAGTTTTAATACACACTTTTTATATTGAAGACGGTAAAACAGAATGCTTTTGGAAATAACAATGAATTGCATTTTATTAATCGTAATGTTTATTTGAATTTTATAATTATGATATGTTAAAGTTTATTATATTTTAGATTAATGTTGATTCATTTATAATGTTTATGATAAAATTGATGGCAATGTTTTGTTTTAATTATACTATTTTTTATAAATATGTTTGTAAATAAATACAATGCTTTTGTTTTTTAAACAACCTAAGTAAATATTTTATTTGCATGAATTGTCTTCCATTATGCAATCCACTCTAATGCTAAAATAAACAGGACATTATTTTGCTCTGTGAAGTAAATATGTTACTTTTTCGTAAATAAATTTATAAAATAAATAAAACTTCTTTTTGTTTTTAGGGCCAAAAATAGTCATCAAGTTTCAATAAAACAGACCCATTTTTGAGAGATTCAACTTTCACAATATACAAGAATCAGTTTTATAATAAACCATGAAAAGTTCACTGTCGTATATACAAAGATTAAAAGAGTTACCTGTCTTCATTAGCCGCTAACATGGAAATCGCAGGTTCGCTTCCGATTTTGGCCGAGAAATTTTATCATGATTTTCTGGCTTGGTTTCCCCATTTCAGTGGTGCAGGGCTGAGAGCCTGACAAAAACTGAGGTCCTGTGTACACATTGGCGTGAAAGTAAAAGATCGTTTGACAGTTGGAATTCGATACAAGAGTAGGCTGTAGCGTCGTTATCCTGGCAAAATTTCCCTCATAGCACACTGTACAGCTTATGCCCATCTTCACTAGCCCAGTCAGAGCAGAACAGTAGGACGTTAAACCCCATTTCATTTCATTAGCCCATTCAGTGCAGAACAGTGACATTACATCCCATTTCATTTGATTTCTGATTGAGTAAAGTACAATGCTATCAAAAGATAGTATCACCGTCAATTTATCACCATACAGTGATAAATAAAATGGTCTCTAAAACAATTTTTTTTTCAAGCAGCCTTAGAAAGATTATCAGTCAACATCTGCAGGATCGCACGCTGACAGTTTCTTGTATTGCTGCTAATGCTTACAGATCCACATGGCTCCATCCCTGTCAGTGGTGCAGATCAACAGGGTCTCTCAAAGAACAGCGTTATTCAGAAGGGACAAAAAACTATGTCCTATTTTCACGGTGTGCACGTAAAAGAACCCTTGACAGTTGGAATTCTAAATAAGTGTAGGCTCTAGTAGTGCTGCTGTCTGGCCAAGTTTTCCTCATACTGTATTCATAAACCTGGGGTTTAACATCCACTGGACACAAACTAGATTATTTCAAGACTAACATGTGGTTCAGTTCTGGATGGAGCAGAAAAGAAGGACGTTAAACCACATTTCATTTTATCACCATACTTGAAAAAATAAGGAGTGGTAATAACAACAATAGAGAATTGTTAGTCATTTATTGATCAGATCAAATTAAAACATGGTACAAAAACTTGACGTAATGATACGCATGTAGGTTTCATGTAACAGTATACAAAAATCAATGTATTTATCCATGGGGAAAAAAACAACCATGTCAAAAAAAGTATAGTTAATGGTAGTTACAATAACTGATAGAAGTCAAGATTAAAATGTCAGCCAGTTTGTCAATTCTAAATGATAAAAAAAAATAAAAGGGCAAACATTTAATTCAGGGCACTATTTTACATTTTGGTTCAATAATGGTTTTAGCTAGGTTATTTGTGTATGATTGAAAAGGCAATAATTTCCACTTGATGCAAACTAGATGATTTCGAGACTAACATATGGTTCAATTTTATTTCAATAATTTGCTTGCATGTGGGAGATCTTTAAGAGCATGAGGAAAATCAGAGGATTCAGAGAAAACTGACAAGGTTGGACAGGATATCAACTCAATAACATTGGATTCATATTTATTTGGTTCATTAATTGTTTATAATTCTGTAAGTGGTTGGGGAATTTTCCAACGAATAAAGAGGGTTGGATGGTCGAATGGTTAGCGTGTGCACGTTGTATCATAAGCTGTATTGATACGGATGAGGGTTGGATGTTCGAATGGTTAGTGTGTGCACGATGAATCATAAGGTCTATCATTGAGTCAAATGGCGTAGTTTTGATTCCCTGGTTGTACGTAACAATGAGAAGGGTGGTCTGTCGAACATCATGGATTTTCTCCGGGTCCTCCCACTGCTAAATGTTTTTTCAGCATGATTTCGCCTTGTCAGTGATGTAGGTGGAAATGAAAGGGTTCAATTCCATGGAGTATTGTTCTGCTCAGACTTCCCCAGCTAATCAGAGACATACAGTGTGCTATGAAGGGAAATTTTGCCCAGACAGACTACTCTTATAGTGAATTCCAACAGCCAAGTGATCTGTTACGTGCACCACAGGTTTTAGTCCCATCCGAACAACTATACATTTTCCCTTTGCTAGGTCCTCTGTCCTGCACCACTGACAGTAAGGGGGGACAACGCGCCGGAAAATCCCGGTGAACTTTCTCGGCGAACGCAGGGATCAAACACGGGACCTCCAGTCTTTCTCACTGAGCCACCGTGGCTCTAAGGTATATAGAAGGACTATTCGGATGTAACAAAAAAAAAAACAAGGTCCTGTATACACATAAACGTGCACGTAAAAGAACCCTTGACAGTTGGAATTTGATTAAAGATCAGTGAGTGGAAATGCAGCTGTCCTGTCAAAATATCCCTGGAGATGGCCGTCTTCATATATAAGCTTGCGTTGTTGCACAAAATCCGACATCAAGCCCTATTCGATTTCATTTTTTTTTTTCAGTAAATGTTGGCAACATGTCTAAGCCATGTGTTTCATCAGTGATTTTGTTTAAATTCCAATTGTATCATTTTAGGCAAATTTATCTCATTTATTTTTCATTTACATAGTATTTACAAAATAGAACTACAATTGTTTAAACTAAAGCATTTTTAAACAAAAACATATATAAAACAAGTCAAATTTGTTTCCATGGAAGCACATAAAAGATTAAATCCCAGAATTTTCCAATAAAATATAGCCTAAATGTACACCGTTTTATAAAAAAAAAATATTTTGAACAGTTTATGAGACATATGACCAGGAAACAAAGGACAGACGAACCGACCGACGGACCCTGCCATTTCATCACCCCTCTAAACTTCGTCCGGCGTCTACATGTGACGACCGAGATTTTATACAATTATAAATGGCGTTTTAAAAATTATGTAAATTGATGCCATCACCATAATAAATGATACAAAGAGTAAACAAAGCAATTTATATAAACCTGCACGATTAAATGACTTGTTTACTACGCCTACTGAATATTTGTAATAAATATAATACGCGTTATTTTGGCGGCAAGAAAATGAACCGTCCCTGTTTATTTACGGGTCGTCTTGACTACTTTATAATGACGTCACACGCACATGCTCACGGGGAGAGATTCCAACATGATTTCTGATCAAAACATCAAACGGAGAGCTGAATGGCATAAATGAAGTTTATGAATAAGGTATTTACGGTCGTTTACACAGTAATCTGGTTTTAATTAAGTCTCTATTGGATTTTAAAGACAGAGATTTGTAGCCTTGACTTTCTTTTCATTTATAAAAGTTTTCGTGCAGTTTGGAGGGCGACTAGCGGATATCGTGCAACATGAATTGTCGATAACGGGACTATTGGCTGTGAGTTATTAATTATGTATAACAGTTAATATACCCTGGCAAGTCGTGGAATATATGTGGTTTATAAGGCGGTAAATATATCGAAACCCGTTTATTATATCTATAATAAAATATCTTGTCATGAAATGATTTTAAAATGCATATCATGGACCTTATAATTATGAACTAATTTAGCCTAGAGCATTCCGTTGGTTTTAATTATAGGAAACATATATCGATCTATTAAGTTATTTATCTTTCTGTTGTTTATTCAGATAAAATATTTTTTTGTAAATATATCCGGATATAAAATCTATTGAAATCTGTAATAAGGACTTCTATATATTTTGTCATCTGGCAGGGTTTCGTTTCCCTGGTTGTATATGACAAGGAGTAGGGTCGGCTGGTCCAACCTTGTGGGTTTTCTCCAGGTCCTCCGGTTTCCTCCCACTACTAAAGACCCCTACGTGCAAGCGAATTATTGAAATAAAATTGAACCATGTGTTAGTCTCTATGACCTAGTTTGTGTCCACATTTGTGGGAAGTGATACCAAGTAAGAGTGCTTGAACCACACTACACTCAAAACAAAACGGATCAGACCTTAGATGTACCTGCCGATTTTCCTTGGGGTCAGGTCACAGGTGGGGAGTGCTGTATCATTTTTGCCTGAAAAATATGGCAACGGGGAAAATTTTCTGGAACTGCAGTTTCAGTTTAATCAGAATTGTGTGATTTTCTGAAACTCTGAAACTTGTACGAAAAACCGACATACCGTGGCACCGCTTTGCAGGCAAAATTTCCCTCTTAGCTAAATCAGTGCAGAAAAGTATAGCATGTTAAAACCCCATTTCATTTCATTTCCATAGCCTACTACTTTTTCCCTAGATGTTCACAAGCAATTTTAAAATATGATTTTAAATAATATTGGATCAATTAAATGTTTAATAAAAATATCTTCTTTTTTTTCAGATTGGTCATTAGTGAGAAAATGGCTGCCTTACATTAACATTATTTGAGAAAAAATAAATCTTTTTAAAAAGGTGCTTGCTGTGTAGATATTATAGATAAAAACGTAAACATTTGTCGATAATAACAGAAATTTAAAATGGGTTGTGGATCATCTTCTGTACCCCCTAATAGTACGACTATTACAGAAGACGGTACTCAGACAGAAAATCATTTATCACCTCAAAAGTCAACAATTAGCAAGAAAAGTTCTAAGAATAAAATTTCACCACTGGATAGTAATTCTAATAGAGAAGATTTATCATCCAGTAACCCAGGTATGCTTTTTTATATCATCCAGATTACCAAAGCTATTCATTTTAATATCAACTTGTTGTGCCTGTGTTGTAAGTGTCTGTTTGATTCTAAAAATTGTACTGGAACTCGTTGAGAAAACAGGGTGGCTCAGTGGGTAAGGCGCTGGCCCACTTATCAGGAGAGAGAGAGAGGGAGAGAAATGGGGTTACTCGATACGAACTAGGCTATTTTGGGACTAACATATGGTTAAATTTTATTTCAATAATTCACTGGCATGTACTGCGTAGGGGTCTTTCTTTAGCAGTGGGAGGGAAATAGGAGGACCCGGAGAAAACCCACAAGGTTGGACCGACGACACTACTCCTTGTCACGTACAACCAGAAAATCGAAACCACGCCAGTTGACTCAGTGACACCCCTTAGGATCCAACGCGCACGTGCTAACCATTCGACCACACCCCCCTCGTTAATCAGGAAATTCTGAGTAAAGTAGAAGCATGTATATATTGTGATATTTTTGTTTCTGATGAATAAGTCATATCAAATGTTATCCAAATGTCAGAGGTGGACACAACATTCCTATTAGGTAGAATATCCTGGTGTCGGATCCCAGCATGTTTGTCAAAAAGAATACTTGGATTTTTCCAGCCCCTATCCCACGTTTCAAAGGTAGTCAAACAGTGGACCCTTGAATTAGAAAATTCTCTTCCATTGCATTTGAAAAAAGTAGCATTCTATTTTGTCGTGTTTCTGTGTGATCTAGTGTGTCACCGTATAAAAATGATAGGTTGGGTGGACGAATGGTATAGATCATCAGGTATGTCACTAAGTCAAATGGCGCGGATTCGATTCCATGTGACAAGGAGAAGGGTTGCTTGTCCAATCTCGAATTTCCTCCCTACGCACAAGAAAATTATTTAAATAAAATTGAACAGTATGTTAGTCCTGACCTCATTTGTGCTGAGTGGACGTTAAACCCCATCTCACTCTCACCTGTCAGTATATACAACAGTAAGATAATATATTTAAGGTAATATTTGTTGGCTGTAATATAGAACTATAATACATATTTTGTAATATAATGCCTTGTGATTGAACATAAAGAATACACTGTATAGAGATAAACAATAGTGTATTATTGGAGAACATTCCATGTACCGGAACATAAACTGCTCCATTAAAATGTTCAACCATTTAGTATGATTAAAAACTGATTAATGATAACAAATTATTCATAGATTCATTGCCAATTTTAGTAATTTTAAAGGAGCTAAAAAGCTAATATTTGACTAAAATAAAACCCGGTGTTTAGAATATTTGACTAAAATAAAACCCATGTTTAGAATATTTGACTGAAATAAAACCGGTGTTTAAAGGAGGTAAATTGCTAATATTTGGGACCTAGAAATTGACACAAATGGGTTGCAACGCATATAATAATGTAATATGAATGTATGTAAACTGTCTTACATTCTATCATTTCTGTTTTTACTATAATTTTAAATCAGTTATGTTCGGCAAAATATGCCAGAAGTCTCAATCGATTGGCAATCTCTAGCGTCTGGTTATTCCAGTCTAGTATTTATTACATCACTTGCGGAATATGTCTAGCCTCATTCTTCGAGTCACTTGTTACAAATGGCACTGAAACCATTATGGTACACGATTCATGTACCAATGCTAAAAAGTTTATTTTGTCTTAAATATTGGATATCAGAAGCCCATCTTTTCCCGGTAAGATCACAACATGAATGTTGATTTAAATTGACAAATAATTTGTGTTATCAATATCAAAGACTTTCAATGATATTGAATTAGAGACTTAGCTACTTTAAAGTCTTATTTACAGTTCCACAGTTTCTTATTAAGGTGGCGGGGGGAGGGGTGAATGGTCACTGCTTGTATGTGACAAGGAGAAGGGTAGCCTTCCAACCTCGTGGGTTTTCTCTGTGTCCTCCAGTTTCATCCCACTGCTAAATACCCCTACGCACAAGGGAATTATTGAAATAAAATTGAACCATATGTTAGTCCCAAAATGACCTAGACTGTGTCGAGTGGACGTTAAACCCCATTTAAAAGAAAACCAGTGATTGATCTCCCATAAAAATTGTGTTATGTGTATTATATATATTATTATTGTACATTTTTATTACACACAGGTTCCACGACTAAATTCTCACATGCGCTTTACAAAATTTGCGACAGAAATTAAATGTACAAATAAAATAATTCCTTTATTATTTAAGAAAGTTATTTGAACAGTTTGAAAAAGTGATAATTTTGTATTCTGAGAGTCAAGAAAGTTATTTGAACAGTTTGAAAGAGTGATATTTTTGTATTCTGAAAATCAAGAAAGTTATCTGATCAGTTTAGTACAGAAATTAAATATAAAATAATTCCCTTGTTATTCAAGAAAGTTATTTGATCAGTTTGAAAAAGTGATAATTTTGTATTCTGAGAGTGAAGAAAGTTATTTAAACTATTTGAAAGAGTGATAATTTTTTATTCTGAGAGTGAAGAAAGTGTTGATTATTTTATTGTGTCTATAAATCAATATTAATCATTAAAACATCTGAAACAATAAACAGACCGTTCACACTTGGGAGGTCGTCTGCTTAGACTCTTAGTTACACATAGTTTCTCTAGATCAAAAAATCAATTGTTCTTTCATTCCTGGTGATTGAGTGTTGGTCCTTAGAAATGGATGCGTAATGAAGCAAAACTTTAGAGTAGATTGAATCAGTTAAATTAGCAAAAACAAAAGGTTTGACTTGTGAGTACTAGAGTGAGATGTACTTTTTATTTTTACAAAACTTATCCATAAATCTATACACAGGATCTTTTGAGTAGATTGAATCATTAAATTAGCAAAAACAATAGGTTTGACTTGTGTGTCTTAGAGATGTACTTTTTATTTTTTTTATGAAACTTGTCCATAAATGTATACGGAGAGCACTCCCTCCCCCACTCCCAAAAAAGAGAAGCAGCCAGGGAAGTATTTCAGGTCTCTTAAAACATAAATAGTGAACAAGATGAAATGCTTAGTTTTTACCTTTTGTTATGTAAATCTTATTAACTAAAGATTTTAAATTGTAATCTAAAAACTTTGCTATTTTGTCGATTGTCAATAAGATTACATGATGATGTGCCATATTTAAAAAAAAAACAAAAAAAAAACTTAAATATAAAGTTCAGTGGTTTTATTTTTTTTAAAATTAATATTGATATGTTGCTGTATATGTCGAGAATTTGTGTAGCCAGACAAGAATATTGATAATAAGGATGTTAATTTGAATAAAAACAGAAAGCCTGTATGACATCTTGCCCTTTAAATCGACTAAAAACAATAACATTCATCTTGAATATTAAACATACATTATGCAAGAGCTAAATCTGCCTATTTCAGGTCTTTCTTTAGGCCTGAAATGTTATCTAAATTATTAATTAGACATTAATTAACCTATCCAGGCCATAATCAACTCTAGATGGCAGCGCTAGCCTGCGATCTTTAGTGGATTGTAAGCCGATTTACTGCATAACTTTCCTTCTCGATTAAACGATTAAATGGATAATAGAGACTATGCTGTTTATCGTACTGACTTTAGTAATGATGACCAAGGCTTATGGGAATTTCAGTCGCTTAGTTCTCTGTTCATCGTGGAACAATTTGAATGAAATTTTCACTAAATTGCCTTTACATTATCTAGTTTTTAACTATTACAATGTATAGTGAGAACTGCCAACTTGTTACCGAATCTCCCATAATGTATCTTTAAACTACCGTATAAGAAAAATTGTTGTTTGAAATCAAAAATTTTTATGGCTGTATTAGATACCCCCATCTTTTTCAGAAGGGGATAGTTAATGCCTGTTTAAATTGTATTGGTTCTATATTGAACCATTTTGATATTATATATATATTTTATGTTTTAGTATATTTCATTTTGTTATTTATTTTGCCGGGTATTGTTATTATTCAATGATTCGTTTATGTAATTTATAAGGCAAATAAAAGACCATTTCAATTCAAACAAATGCTTTTTCGTGTGCAAAACATAGCCATTCCAGAGCACAGGGGAATAAAAAAATATTTATTGTGGTAAAAGTTATGATATTAAGTCACATATAGATTGAAACGAAATGTTTGAACTTAATTCAGTTACACCAAATAAACAAATTATCTCTTTGTAATAATCATGATTTTTCCTATTTTTTCCAGTCCCAAAATCGGTAGCATTTGAAGTTGCATTTGACCCACCAAAATCATCTAGTCTACTTCTGGCTCGACCACCCAGACGTCTGCAGGTAAACTTACAATAACTCTACATAATTAACATCCACACTCCTTTTAAAGTTAGGGGGTTGGATAGCTTAATGGTTAGCACATGCGCGCTGTATCATAAAGTCTGTCATTGAGTCAACTGGCATGGTTTCGATTCCCCGGTTGTACGTGACAAGGAGTAGTGTCGCCTGTCAAACCTCGTGGGTTTTTTCTCCGGGTCCTCTTGTTTCCTCCCACTGCTAAAGACCCATATGCACAAGCGAATTATGGAAATAAAATTGAACCATATGTTAGTCCCGAAATGACCTAGTTTGTGTCGAGTGGACGATAAACCCCATTTCTCTCTCTCTCTCTCCTTTTAAAGTTGTGTATGAATGCTTGCTTAAATATTTAAAGCCACAGAGGTTTTTCGATCATTGTTTGGCCTTTAGAAAAGGTATGTTAATGAACCAAGTAGCATGGGTTTGATGAGTAGGGTGGCCAGTGAGGTAAAATAAAATTTCCATTATGTTAGTCCCGAAAAGACATTGTTAGTGTTGAGTGAACATTTCTCGCTCTCGATCTCTCTCTCTCTCTCTCTGGCCTACTCTTATTGTACTTTCTCGGCCAATGCAGGGATTGAACACAGGACCTCCAGGTTAGCGAGCCAACATCCTACTCACTGAGCCACCATGGCTCCCTAAATCTTAATAAGAACTGTAGCTATGAAAGAAAGGCGAGGCAACAGAAGATTCAAACTAATCATCAGTGATATGATCGTTTGGGATTTCTGCAGCACACTTTCCTGGTGCACTGTTTATAGCTAATAAGCATTGTTTAAAGTCTGTCATTAAATAGTCGTGGGGGGGGGGGGCACTTTAGATCATAAGACCTGTTATTAAGCCAAGTGGCATGGTTTCATTGCCACACTTGCTCCTGTAGGAATAGGGTTGCCTGCCTAACCTCATGCTGTTTCTCCTATTCCTTCGGTTTCCTCCCACCGTTCTACAAGCAAATTATTGAAATATTGATCATATGTGAGCTTCCATCACATACAGTTTATAACATCTGAACATTTATAAAGGCTGTCTTAATATTTATTTGAAGAGTTTCCAGGTTAAATATCATCTCATCTCTCTCTCTCTCCTCTCTCTCTCTTCCCTGCCCTGTTCCTACCCCAACCCCCACCTTTCAGCCCCACATTTCTCCCCTCCCCAACATCTGTTAATTGTCCAATATTGATTAGCTGTGAGTTTCATCTCCCTGCCCTGCCCTGCCCTGCCCTGCCCCACCACCATCTCCCAGCCCCGCATTTCTGCCACCCCCATCCCAGCAGCCCAGGATTTCTCTCCCCCTACCACTATCTGTAAGTTGTCCACTGTTGATTAGCTGTGAGTTTCATCAGATAGAGTTTATAAAAACTAAACACTGTTTAAACACTGTCTGTAGAATGTTTAATATTGATTTGAAGAATTAAGACATACCTACATCTATAATATAGACTGGTATATAACGTATTGTAACACATGAATAATATATACACAGTAAGTAAATTACCACCACACACGGTATATTACAATCAATTGTTAAACATCACACAGAGATAACTGTTTTAATTCTTAATAACCAAGACGGTGGTGGTCGACTTACTGGATTCACGACTAGAGAATCAAAGTTTTCAATACCCATATTCACTTGAAGACCCTATAGGAATTGTTCTAGACGATCTAATATTTATTGAGCTATTACATTTAGTAGCTGTGGGTGATTTTGATAGGTAGAGATGCAAGGCTTAAAACCCCAGTATGCAACTCTCTTACTCCCACTACATCAATTCTCACCCGCTATGGAGGTGGGGGGGGGGAGGGGTTGAATGGCAGAATGGTTAACGCGTGCACGTTGTATCATAAGGTCTGTCATTCCACGGTTGTACAAGGAGTAGGGTTGCCTGTCCACCCTCATGGGTTTTCTCTGGGTCCTCCGGTTCCCTCCAACTGAAACCCCTACTATATGCTCTCTCTCTCTCTCTCCCTCTCTCTCTCTCTCCCTCTCTCCCTTAACACCCTTTATGCTCTTATCACTCCTCACATCCTCTATCACTCTCTACACGTCTCTCATCCCTTTCTCACCCAGTGTTACGCCTTATTTCACTCCCTTTTTTAATTCCTACACCTTTCTCAACCCTAATGGCCATTATCATCCCCTTGACTAACCCCTATCATTCTTACACAACCCACTCGTCCCTACACCCCCTCTCACTCCTAGGCCCCCTCCCATCCTACTTCTCCCCCAGTCGCACCCTGCCTATCCCTTCTCGTCCTCATCCCCTACACCCCCTCCCATCCTTCTACTCTCCGTCTCACATTGATCAACATCCCTCCCCACCCTCTATATACACTCCTCAAAATTCTCCACATCAATTTTGTTTTGTGTTTCTGTCTTTTGTGAAGAATCTGTAAAGACAGTTTTATCAAAGCTAGCAAATATAAAGCTTATTCTGTCTTGGCTCATTGAGTAAGTCGTAGGGTCACTAACCAGGGTTGCCATGCCGCTGTCCAGCCAAAAACAATTTCCATCATGGCACATTTTATGGCATATGGCTGTCTTTGTTAGCCTGGTCAACATAAAATAGTAGAATGTTAACCCCCATTCAATCAGACTAATTGATGTTATGAATTATAAAATCACAATACAGATCGGTTGAACAGAGTTATTATGTCTTGTTTTGTTTCATTAAACACTAGACTTCACCTCCCACTCGTCTTTATTAATAAATAATCAATCTGTTTATCAGTCAAACAACTGTAGCAGGTTCTTTCTATATATGTCATCTGGGACCATCAGTTCAGATAAGGGGGTGGCGTGGCAAGGGATAACCAGAATAAAGGATGACGTGGCAAGGGATAACCAGACTAAGGGATGACCTGGCAAGGGGTAGCCAGGCTAGGGGATGATGTGGCAAGGGGTAACCAGACTAAGGGATCACGTGGCAAGGGGTAGCCAGACTAGGGATGATGTTGTAAGGGATAACCAGACTAGGGGATGATGTGGCAAGGGGTAACCAGGCTAGGGGATGGTGTGGCAAGGGGTAACCAGGCTAGGGGATGGTGTGGCAAGGGGTAACCAGACTAAGGGACGGCGTGGCAAGGGGTAACCAGACTAAGGGATGATGTGTAAAGGGGTAATCAGACTAAGGGATGACGTGGCAAGGGGTAATCAGACTAAGGGATGATGTGTAAAGGGGTAATCAGACTAAGGGATGACGTGGCAAGGGGTAATCAGACTAAGGGATGACGTGGCAAGGAATAACCAGACTAGGGGATGACTAGGGGTAACCAGACTAGGAGACGATGTGGCAAGGGGGTAACCAGATTAAGGAATGACATGGCAAAGGGTAACTAGACTAGGGGATGGCATTGCAAGGGGTAACCAGACTAGGGATGGCGTGGCAAAGGGTAACCAGACTAAGGGTTGATGTGGCATGGGATAACCAGAATAAAGGATGATGTGGCAAGTGGTAGAGGGACCAGGGGATGATGTGGCAAGGGGTAGCCAGACTAGGGGATGATGTGGCAAGAGGTAACCAGACTAGGGGATGATGTGGCAAGGGGGGGGAGTAACCAGACTAAGGGATGACATGGCAAGGGGTAGCCAGACTAGGGGATGATGTGGCAAGGGGTAAGCAGACTAGGGGATGACGTGGCAAGGGGTAACCAGGCTAGGGAAGGATGTGGATTCAATAGGGCTACACCTACAAATTTATATATACACAATGTTTTAATATACATTAAATTGTTTATGAAAGAGTTGTCCAAAGACAGGACGTCCCGGTGATACATGTACGTATAGAATGACGAATTAGATTCAAATATATATAAAGGGTGTAACGCGTGCACTTTAATAGAGTGTAACTGTGTCTGTGATATCACTATCGAGGAAGCATTATCTATTTTTGAAATATTATAGCGAGAACTGTCAGATCTTCGTCTAAATCGTACATAATGCCCTTTTAAAATAACAAAGTCAAGTGGGATTGCCTGACTAACCTCGTGGGCCCAGCCACCCTCTGGTTTTGTTCTCCTGTTAAAGACCCTGTTATATTATTGAAATATCTCTCTCTTTGGTACTTTATTTTGTACCTAAATCAATGATATGTAATTCTTTTAATTGTGAAAACCTACAGACTGCAGATTAAATGTCGAATCTATAAAATGATTTTTATTTTTTTGTTCTCAGAGGTTAGAACCGTTAGCTTTACCAAAATTGACACCAGAAATGTTGGAAGAAAAACAGAGACTGGTGGAAGAGAAAAGACTTCAGGTTTGTCACCACAATTTATTCATTGAAAACATTTTTGTTAAACTTTTAGTTATGTAACATATACTGCATTAGCTGACTTTTTTGTGTTAGATTATTTTTAAATGCAACAATGTCTGTTATCCAGCGAGTAGCAATGTCCTATTTGTTAGAGATTAATTAGCTTCCCAAGATCATAATCAAATTTCAATGCCATTGGATGTTTCTGATATTCAGTAGATTTAGATAGAGCTCGCGATTGATGTGGTTAATCAATGCTTTGTTTATTATCATAACAGCTAGCAATGACAATCAAGGCTAGGCTATAATTGTGTCACAGGTGTCTAGACTCAGAGTGAAGTAATCTGACTGACATTTTCAACATATTCCCTTTTCATTATCTATGTTTCAACTATTATAGTGAGAACTGTCTGCTCTTTATCTAATCTTACAAACGTACCTAATGCTGCTTCAACAAATTGTTAGATACAGTTGAACTCGATATTTCCATGCCTTGTGGAAGATAATATTACAAAATATAGATAAATTTTAAATGGACAGACATTCGTATTGATACCAGCAAGTTTGTTGGTACCAGAATAAAGCACTTATTGACAGTGCTTGATAAAAATCGTTATTAAATATTGTCGAGACATTACATAATATTGATAGTGTCAATGATCGTAGCGACATCACTCGTACCAGAAACGTATTTATCTATAGTGCTTGTTAAAGGCTCTGATCCATATTTCCGAGATTTTGAATATAGTAGAAGTTGGATCTTGAAAAGGGGAGAGCGAGAAATGGGGTTTAATGTCTACTCGACACAAACTAGGTCATTTCAGAACTAACATATGGTTCAATTTTATTTCAATAATTCGTTTGCGCGTAGGGCCTTTAGCAATGGGAGGAAACCGAAGGACCCTGGAGCAAACCCACAAGACTAGACAGGCGACACTACTTCTTGTCACGTACAACCAGGGAATCGAAACCACACCAGTTGACTCAATGACAGACCTTATGATACAACGAGCAATAAGACCTGCGATAGGCAGATTTAGCTCTTGTATAATGTATGTTTAAGCAATGAAATATTAGATATTGATGTTTTAGCAAAAATGTAAATGACGCATCAAACCTTTAATTAAAGATATATTATGTAAGAATTATATAAAGTGCTGACAATTCTTGTTATATTAGGGTAAAAATAGATAATGAAAAATTAATATATTGAAAATTTCAGTCAAATTACTTCTTTCTGAACAAAGTTATGGCTGTTTAGAGAATAGCACAGTCTCGATTGTCATTGCTGGTTTTGCTACTGTTGTATCCATTGAAAATTGTGAGCATCCGACGGTCTAGAGAGTTGATAATGATCTTGTCATGATAAACTTGAGGCCAAAAGAGGGCCCTGCTATAAGCAAATTTAGCTCTTACATGGTCCGTCCGTCTGTCTGTCCTGATTTCGTTTCCAGAGCATATCTCATAAACCGTTCAAGACATCTTTATAAAACTATGTACACACATCAACCTATACTGATGCCCAAAAGAAAGTATACACTGTGCATTTTGTCCTGCTTCAAACAAAGTCGTTTTTCCATTGTATGCGGTTTTTGGGTACAAACTACAATGTCCATTTGTTTTGCTTTTTATTTGGTTAGAAATATTGAATTTGGATGCACGAGACATGTTCAGCGTAGTTTTATCACATCTTTTTGATTTAAACAAAACTTAGTCATATTTTTAGTGTGTATACTTTCTTTTGGACATTAGTATATTACAGTAGGTGGGCCTTTTGCTGATTAGGAATTTCTCGGATTTAATCATTTTTGTGTTTTGTGTTTTAACACTTTTACATTCATCAACCTATTTTTTTATTTTCTAATGTCCATCCTTCCGTCTCGAGTATATTATTTCATTATCTGTTCAAGAAATCCTTTTGAAACTTTGTTCAAACATCAACCTATTATATTATTTTATTTTCTGATGTATAAGCTAATTGTTTAATATACAGCAAATGATTGAGGTTCGACAAAGGTTGTTCTGCAAACCTTAGACTGAGTAGCAACCGTGCCTTGACAACCTACTGTGATCTGAGTATGAATCTTCTGACTAGTCCCATTGATAATCCATGTGTTGGAATATGAGATTAAACAGATATATTTTTATATTGATTACCAATAACATAAAGAAGTTGTTTTTTCTTATGCCCTCCAAACAATTGCAAGGGTGTGGGATGTTGATGACTAGTCATCTTCTTCTGCTTCCATTTAATTTCATTAAATTGAAAATTTGTCTTTGTGTGTTTAAGAGATATGAAACCGGAGTAGGACCACATCAGGGGCGGATGCAGGAATTTTTGCAGGAGGGGGTTTGCCAGGTTCCTGAGACAATGTATCTTCCCCCCCCCCTCCTGCATGGTCTCTATCGTCATTTTGGTGTATATACATACACATTTAGCTTTTTAAACAGAGAAATTCAACACCTCGTTTGACGTCAATTTTTATTATGAATTAATACAATGACATTACGAATTATTTTCATGGATGCAAAGCATTAATTGTTATATCACATAATGTCTATATCATTATCTCGTGCTTTGAGTGCCCATCCTGTCCCACATCTGACGATAAAGGAAAAGCACACGGCCGAGAAAATTTTCTCTTAAAAAGTGTTGACTTACAAAAAAATTTATAGAGTTGAGCGGGGGGGGGGGGGCGTTGGTCGCCCCCCACCCCCCCCAAACAGGATCCGCCCCTGCACATTACAAAACAGTATACTAATTGTTGGATATGGCGGCCGTTTAGCGCAGAGATCTTTTCTCAAAGTAGAGTAGATAGTTCTCTGGGTTCAGAATGGATCAGCTGCTTTAATATAATTGATTATTAGAGTATTATTGAGCCATGTGTTAAAGCTGTTATAAAAACACCTGTGTTCTCTTATCCTAGTTATGTAACCATTATTAACATGCTTTACAAATCTATATAAAGATATTGATTTTCATAGAATCTGATAACAAAACAACCCATAATGGATGTTACAGGGTATCTATAGTTCATCCGGTTTCAGTTAATATTTTGTTTTGTTTCTACAGCAATTGAAGAAAAAGGCGTCAGGATCGAGTAAGTCGTCAAGGAGACGCAAAGAATTGATGAAAGCACGACAGTTTGAGCGAGAACAGACGTCAGAGCAAATAAACTTGGTAAAGATTTTTATAAACTTTAAACATGAATCAATAATGTTAATCTGACATCTCCGCGGTCATTCGCACTTTATAGTTGACATTACTTTATGTCATGTTACTTCTGATTATCTCGCTCCATCTGTCCCTTTAACTACTGTATTGTCAGGGGTTAGGCGATTATCTCGCTCCATCTGTCCCTTTAGCTTACCCTATTTTCAGGGGTTAGGCGATTATCTTGCTCCATCTGTACCTTGAGCTACTGCATTGTGAGGGGTTGGGCGAGTAAATGGTCTAACATGCTGATAAATATCCCTCCACATAAGGCCAGAAGGGGGGGCTGGATGGCCAAATGGTTAGCGCCTCAGGCTGACCTTAAAAATATCTTTGTTTCACCAAACCCGACCGACAATCGAGGAGAAGGGTCGGTAGGTTTTTTTTTTCTTCAGATTTTTTTTTAAAGTCAGAGAAATCAATACAGAAAACTTATTAGCTGTATACTATAGATTCATTAATTTTGTTTAATGAATTTTGGGTCTGACGTAAAAAGTAACGAACTTAAAGTTTTTATTAAACTTAAGAGCTAATTTGACAGCTTGATAATTTTCCGGGTGAAAACCTTCGTCTTCCTTATTGGCAAACAAATCAATGACATCGTGATGCACGACTCGCACACGATTCGCCACGAACTTGAAGTGTGAAACTCCTTCAACACGTTTTTAACGATGGTGCGGGTTGTGCCGTCATTTTTCTCGAAAACGGATATTGAAAATATCATCGTCATGTTTAAAACGACGCACCACAGACATAGAGGCAGAATCATTTCATGGGAATGGACGTACTTTCGTCTGCAACCATTTTGTTGAGAAGCGACACCTATGACGCTTTCGTCTTGATCAACCAGTTTCAATAATGAATCAAACCATAGCCATAATAAAGGGAAATAACTCTCGTGATATATTTCAGGTTGACACACAAAATAAAATAAAAAGATCGTGGAAAAGTGCAATAAAATAATTTAAGTCAGGGGTGGTTTTAGTTAGTCGGTCGCGTTAGGCGAAACAAAGATATTTTTAAGGTCAGCCTCACACTGTATCATAAGGTCTGTCATTGAGTCAACTGGCGTGGTTTCGATTCCCTGCTTGTACGTGACAAAGGAGTAGGGTTGCCTGTCCTCCGGTTTCCTCCCACTGCTAAAGACCCCGACACAAAAGTGACTTAATAAAATAAAATTGAACCATGTTAGTCGCAAAATGACCTAGTTTGTGTCGATTGGATGTTATACCCCATTTCTCTCTCTCTCTCTCTATCATTCCCATTCTATTTTATTCCCATTCACCTTCCTATTTCCATCTGACATAACAATAAATCTATTGATTTTACTTCTATAGAAAGATGAACAACTGAAACAGGCTGATATCAAACGAGAAGCAAAATTAAAAGAAGTTCAAGAAAAACAAAGATTACGGGAAGAAAGAGCTAAACGAGCCAGGGAGAAGGTTAGTTCAAATTATAGTTGCGCCTAATTTGGTGTAAAGGACAAGCAGAAAAATATTTTGTTTGGTTTTATGCAATCACCCCTAGTTTTTTAAGTATTTTGGGGGGTTTGATGGCCGAATGGTTAGCGTGTGCTGGTTGTTTCATAAGGTCTGTCATTGAGTCAACTGGCATGGTTTCGATTTCCCTAGTTGCACGTGACAAGGAGTAGGGTTGTCTGTCCAACCTCGTAGGTTCTCTCCGGGTCCTTTGGTTTCCTCCACTGCTAAAGACCCCTACGTGCCAGCGAATTATTGAAATAAAATATAACCATATGTTAGTTCTGAAATGACTTAGTTTGTTTGTGTCAAGTGGAGGTTAAAACCCATCTCTCTCTCTCTCTCTCTCTCTCTCTCTCTTTTTACCTAATATTGCAGCAAAAAGATAAATATTTGCCTTGTCCTGTGATTAGAACCATTGGAGTCAGTATGGGGTACAGTTTCTTATAACTGTGTGTGTGCCCAGGACCTGTTCCCTAAATGTTCCAGGTTCAAACTCGTTATTAGTCTATCCTTGTGCCCAAATATCAGTAATTTAAAGCTGAATTCCCACTTTTAAGATTTTACTAACTGGTAATTGTTTGTATGTCTTGTTTATCTCAAATGAATTGAAAGTCATTTAATTATATTGAAAGTCATTGATCGCTGACAAATATGACTGAACGGGTGCTGTTCTGGTCTGAGAGGGTATCCAGAAAGGTTAACATTTAAGCTTATTGTTATATATTAGTATTATTGGTGTTATATTTATTGGGAACCACAGTGGCTCAGTGAATAAGGCACTGGCTCACTTACCTGGGAGGCTCTGCAATTGATTCCCATGTTGGCTGAGAAAGTTCCTGCTTTCTCCTTGTCAGTAGTGTAAGATGGAGCGCCTGGCAAGGGACAGTGTCTAGAGTCATTTGGATGAGATGAAAAACCTAGGTTCCGTTTACAAACTGACTTGAACATAAAAGAACCCCTGATAGTTGGATTTCAAAATAAGAGTAGGTCGTAGTGCTCTTGTCAGGGCGAAATTTCGCACATAGCACACTACATACCATTTGCGCTAGGCTATTTTAGTTGATGTAGAACAGTGTGACATGAAACCACATTTTATTTCATTTGTATTACAGGCTAAAAGATTAAAGGAAGTTGATGATGATTTAGATATTGATGTAGAAAAAGATAATCATTATAATAATAGTGATGGTAAGATGATGTTATAATTCTCTAACCCCACCCCACCCCAATCATTATAATAACAGTGATGGTAAGATGTTGTTACAACTCTCTAACCCCACCCACCCCAATCATTATAATAACAGTGATGGTAAGATATTGTTACAACTCTCTAACCCCACTCCACCCTATCATTATGATAACAGTGATGGTAAGATATTGTTATAACTCTCTAACCCCACCCCACCCCAATCATTATAATAACAGTGATGATAAGATGTTGTTATAACTCATACCCTACCTCACCCCATCATTATAATAACAGTGATGGTACGATGTTGTTATAACTCTCTAACCCCACCCCATCATTATAATAACATAGATGGTAAGATGGTGTTATAACTCATACCCTACCTCACCCCATCATTATAATAACAGTGATGGTACGATGTTGTTATAACTCTCTAACCCCACCCCATCATTATAATAACATAGATGGTAAGATGGTGTTAACTCATACCCCCACCTCACCCCATCATTATAACAACAGCAGTGTTACTAAGATAATGTTATAATGTTTGACACTTAAAGCCAGTGTAGGGCATTAGGGATTAAAACAGGTGCTCTGCAGCACTAATATCGACCAAGTCGACTTTAAAAAAAAGTATAAATATAATTTTTAAGGCCCCATGGGGCTTCATGGATCCCTGATCCATGTACTGGCCGCACCCCTGTCTCCTTGGGCCATGTATCAACACATATGATATATATTGTGATACAAGGGTGAGGGAACAGTCCATTTCTACAAAAATTCCCTGATAACAACACTACATGGCATATAACCATCTTCGTTACCTGGTTGGTACAGAAAAGTAGATGAAGCATTACAGCTCATATGTGTTAGTCCCAAGATTACCCAAAACACATGTAATTGACGTTGCTTAAATATTTATTTTCTAATACAGATGATTCCTGGTTAGGTGATGATGATAAAGATCACGGAACCAAGAACCAACGAGTTGAATCTGGGTATTCTAGTCCACAAAAACAACAACGAGACCGCCGTCCCCCACACCCAGCCAGTGCCAGTACTGTTGATAGCTTTGACACAGCCTTTACCAGAAATCCGTCCAAGGCTATACAGATAACCCAAGATACAGATGATTTCTTCGACAGCTGATAAATTATAGTTCATATTGAATTTATTACGAAAGGACATGGCTTCTGGGATTTGGGTGAAAAATTAAGTTGTGGACTTGTTTCAATTTTAAATTGTTTCAAATGGCATTTAGTAATTGAACTGGAAATACACAGGACACAGATTTAGCTCTTGCATAATGTATGTTTACTAGAAGGATGTCTGCTTACTTTTCTGAAATGTCCTATCTCATCTCTAACCGATCTAATGCTTTATTTTCACCCAAATCCAAGATGTTTAAATCCTTTAAGATTTGTAAATACACCATTTTATAATAAGTTATTGTATATATCAGATGCCGTCCATAATTTATTTTATTTACTGTACTCATGTGATTTACTTGAAGCTATTCCTGGTTTTGTTACATGGTTAAGTTCGACTCTGTCTCAATTAACTCAAGTTGTGGTCATGAAAGGCTGATTCAGGTCAGGTCAAACATGAACTGTCGACAAGAAAAGAGAAGACCTTCGTATTTAACGAGCTATATGTTCTGGATAATGTATGGTTAATTATGGTACCAGCTTTCTCGCTTGTTTCAATAGAAATGATATACCTTTACCGATACGTTGTGCGGAGGGGGTCAAAAGTGGGGTGCTATTGAGCCCCATAACTGGAGTTACCTCCCCATACTTTGAAAGTGGGAGATTAAATTTATTGATGTAGTCGTCTCCTTTTCAAATTCCTAGCTACACCATTACAACACTGGGCTCATGCATTATACTATTCAAATCAAGCTTTAAATTAACGCTAAATTGGTCAGGGTCGAAAGACGTCATAGTTGCTGATGGATGCATGTGACATCACAAAGCAGTTTTCACGTTGACCAGACAAGAGTTGATAATGTATTATTGAATATGTGTTCACTTTTTTTGATGATAACAAACTTGAAGTATAGTTTGAAGTAATTTATTATAACTTGTTATGTTTAATAATGTTGTTGAGTATACTGAATATTCTATAATTTTATATTTTAAAGCGGCATTTACATGATACAACCAATCCATACAACGGTCGCATCAGACTGCTTGTTGTATGGATAGGACCAGTTCTATTCTCATCTGACAGACTGATGCAATAGCCAATCAAATTGCGTTATATTAGACGTCATTTTTGTATTGGCAACAAGAATTCCTACTAATTTACTTTTATTAAAGATCGCTTCTTCCATTGAAGCAACGTCTTTTAAAATGGATCTAAACCTGACGATTCTGTAAACTGAACTTTTGTGGAACAAGCCGCTGGAAACTGAACTTTTGTGAAGCAAGCATCATCAAAACCATACATTTTAAACATTTTCCTTCAAACAACACGTGCTGGTTCAGTTACTAAGATTGAACAAATTATGCAGCAACCGTAGGCCTACATGTGTTTTGTCATACAACAACTGTATCACATAAACAGCCGTCAGATATGTTGTACGAATTGGTTGTATTGTGTAAACATCGCTTAAATCATGTCACACAATTGAGAAGCATTTATATTTTTATTTATTTTCTCAGTTGTAAAATTACATCATAAACTGGATCAGAGCAGTAGAAATCAAATCCTGGTCAGAGCTTCAAATTGTTGATCGACAAACTCTAGCAGCTTGTCAGCCATGTGAAGCTCCTCCCATTAAGTCCTAATCATGTGACCAAAGAGTCAACATTTTAATTCCCTTAGATACCCCTTTCAATTAACAATGGGACCAGACCAGGCCTACTGTCTGGCATACAAATCATGCTAACAGGATGATTTCAGTCAGATCCTAGAGATAAAACCCATTAATAAGTATTAATAGTATACCAAAGGTCTAGGTGTATAGACCCTTGCTGCATTTTTGCTCAAAATAACTCTGAACCAGTTGAGTCAGTACCACTCAAAAGTATAAAAGGGTAGATTGATAATAGATGAAATGATATTGGGTGTTCTAGAAAGACTAAGAATACCCTGCCTGTGTATGACAACATGCATTTGGCCACATTCCATGTTTTCTTTATATATGTTTTAATTAATTTATTGTATTATATTTTATAATTATTATTTAATCCATTCCAAAACCACATTTTGTTTAAGAAGCCACATAATTATATGTTGATTTTCTACCCAATTTTGTTTCCTTGTTTTAAGTCAAGTCAGCAAGGTTAAAGTATTATTTTAATCAGATATGTGTGTTATAAGTATAACTGTTTAAAGTTGCAATTTCATATTTTTAAGTTATATTTTTAAAATTTATTAAAATAAAGCCTTAAAAGAGATGATATCTATAAACAGTCCTACCTTGTTAAAGAATAATCCTATTAATACGTACTATAATTCACTATTGCCAGTTGAGAAATTGGCAAAAATATCATTTTTATCTTCAAATTCAAATGTTTGAAGATAACTACTCCATGAAACTGTTCAGAATATATATATACACATAAAAAAAAAAAAAAACTTGTCCAGTTATAAGCTAGTTGTCTGCTCTTATTTAAGCATTGCAGATGTTATAATGTATAATATGTAGTCAGTACAAATTGTGATATTTTTGTAAATTTTGTGATTGTTATAATTGACTGTGATAGAAATAGGATATATATAATAATAGAATGTGTTCACATTATACAGGCCCCTTTGTTCGCATCATTTTCTGCCAGTTGTTATGGTAACTTTATAAATAAGGTAAATTTCATGTCTTTTAGCTTATGCTCAGAATGTGGCTGCTCTGTAAGACAACGATTTAAAGAGCTGCTGATCTATCGGCAGGGATCTCACTTCAGACACATTTGCTGGTCTTGACCGACTAGCAGTGAAATTGACCAGCAGGAGAACTTATCTGTCAGTCAAATTACATGCCATAAAATTAGATATTTTAATAAATTTAACCTTAAAACACAATACAGCTAATTTTATAGTTTTTATTTGTAAAAAGACTTAATAAAAATACTGCTATATTCTTTTGCAAAAAAATCTATTACTATTTTGAGGTAAACAAAATATGTCAAAAATTGGCTGTGTGTCAAAATTTGAAAGTGGAAATGAAATGGGGTTTAACGTCCTACTTGTTCTGCCCTGACTGGGCTAATAAAGACGGTTAAAGTGAGAGCCTGTTATGGTCTATATATCTAAAGCATTAGTGACAGGGAAAGAAAACTGCTGTGAAAAATAAAATTGTTTTAATAGATAGTTTGAAACTAGGCATTAAGAAACCACATTTTATGATTTAAAATTGTTGATTTATATTTTTTTATATTAGAAATATGATTTATATATTATGCCTGTCATGATCTTCATATGCACTTTGTCGTAAGGCAATCAAAGACAGACACAAATTTAGGCTTTGTCAAACACAGACCCCCATGTATCTGTTATTTTGTCTGGCACAGTTTTGTGTCTTATTTCTTATATTGATATCTTTAATACATGTCCGACATAAAGTTATTTCCAGGCCTGCAAGGAAGCTAACTTAATATAAGTAAATTGAAAGGGTGGCTGAGATGCGATGATGATATAGGGCAAAAATGTTCCAATACTGCATTGAACTTTTTTTTGCAATGGCGGTATTTTTCTGTTACTGCTTTGGGGGTCGTCACCCTTAAATATAGTATTAAATTCTAGTATTATTCATCATTATATTGCTGTTGTCTGTGCCACATGGATTAAAAATAACAATTTTACTTACATTTAATATTCTAAAATTATATTAGAATTTCAAAAAGTATTAATATATCCCCATCCAGATCACACATCCCCACCCCCAAAAAAAAGAGTGATGGATTTATTTAATTTTCAGTGTATAATGCATGAGTGAAATTTTAGTCCAAGTATAAGTTAGACCAAACAAAAAGTTTTCCATTTGTAGTTTTAAAATGAAATTGGGTTGAACGTCCTACTTTTATGCACCAACTAGGCTAATGAAGTCAGGCATACACCATACAGTGTGATGTGAGGAAAATTTGCTCAGATAGCAGCATTTCTTACTCTTATTTTGAATTTTAACTGTCAAGGGATCTTTTACAAGCACTCCAATGTGCACACAGGACCCATTTGTAGTATTTAAAGTCTGAGCAAAATTTTGATTTTTAATCCATGTGGTGGAGATGGTATATTTATTGTACATTTTACATAATTATTTATAATTTATCTGTACATTTTTCATAAACTGTGTGAATAAAAGAAAGTCATTTGACAAGTAAAAAAAGTGATCCTTTAATTATTTTAGTAAAATGTGGTCCCAAGTTGAGATCTAAGTTGAGATGGATGGTGCAACTATCAAAGGATATGCCTAGATGTCCGGATGTTTGCAACTCAGATCTTTTAAAATTGTCTGACGATTTCAAGAACTTAGGGGTTTTTAATTCAAAGCATCAGGATTTTCTGGTGTTCCTCCTGTCAGTAGTGCAGGATTGAGGGCCTGGCAAGGGACAATGTATAGTCATTCAGATGGAACAATAACCAGATCCTGTGTACACATTGATGTGCATGTTAAAGATCCCTTGGCAGTTGGAATTCAATATAAGAGCAGGCTGCGGGCAAAATTTCCCCTCATAGCACACTGGCATATGCCAGTCTTCCTTAGCCCAGTTGGAGCAGAGGGACAATAGACACCCCCCCCCCCCATTTCATTTTTTTAATTCAATGGAGGGGGTGAAAACCCTATCCAAAGAAAAATCCTTAACATTAAATCCCATTCCATTTTGGCTCAGTAAAATGCTGCCTCGCTAACCAGGTTTCGGGTTTGCTCGCCTCCTGTTAGTGGTGCAGGACGGAGGAAAAAGAACCATGTCTTAATTGTATGGGTGGGACCAAAAAAAAAACAACCAAGGTCCTGTGTACACATTGGCATGCACATAAAAGAACAGTTGTAGGCTGTGGCTGTTCAGGCAAAGCTTCTCTCACACAGGGTCTTCATCAGATCAGTATTCGAGAGTGAAAAATAGGGTTTTAGTCCAATTGATAAACCAGGTCATTTTGGGACTAAAACAAATCAATTTTCAGGGACAGATTAAGGATGCATTGGAGACAACATCATGCCTTGTGTCAAATTTCCTCAGCAGGAACCTGGCGAACACTCCTGCAAAATATCCTGGATCCTCCCCCGATCTTATTTCAATAATTTGTTTGCACATAGTGCACATAGGGGATTGTAGCTAGAGAAAACCCCACGAGGTTGGACAGGCTACCTTACTCATGTACAAGCAGACAAGTGAAGCCACGCCACATGTCTGAAATGACAAACCTTATTTATGATCCAACCCTCTTTAAACCATGCGGCCACCCAAACTAAATATCCACCCAAACTAAATATCGAATATGCCCTTATCCCTTTGCTTTAACAGGGTCATGATACTGCATAATTTCCCTATTTTACCTTTTCCCCAGGAGCACGAACGGCAAATAAGTTACAGAGAAAATTTAATTTCTTGCCATTCCATCAATACCTTCATTAGTTTTAAAGGCCACACATCAATCCTAGTTGAGGAAAAAAACCCTCAAATTTCGTTTATTTCTTTGGAGAGCAGACTTAAGTACCACATTCTGAAACGCTTTGAAATTTAAATGGCAAGGTCTCCTTGATTATGTATAAAAAAAAAAAACCCTAACGAACTAAAAATTAATTCCATTTTGGCTTAATTCCGATTACGAAAAAATAAACACAAGATACAACTCTATATTTTACTATTTTTTATTCTTTTGTTATCTAGAACTTTTAAATATTACAGACAATATTGATTTGACTTTTGAAAACATTCAAAAAAGGAACTTGTACAAAAAAAAAAAATGAATTTTTCACATACAATGAATGTTAAGTTTTAACACAAGACTCATATGATTATGATCTTATATACAATGGATGGGTCTTATCCATATAGGGACAAAGATGAAGAAAGCAAATTGTTAAATAACGCTTGTTTCTGCGTAGAATTAATTTTTAATTTATATTAACAATATGTTTTAAATATTTAATCAACTTCTTCCATTCGTGAGGCATCATCATTGTCACCTTCTAATGGAGGCATGTCCTCGGTACCGGCTTCCATACCAACATCACCAGAACCATCTTCATCCATATCAATACCTGAAAAATAAAAATCACAACCATTTTAAAACCAGACCAGAGAAATTGGGCTTAAAGTCTTTTTGAGACTTTTGTAAAAATTCATTTTCATGCATAATCTTTAGAAATGTGAAGAACCCAGAGATTAAGCAGGCGGCCCTGACAAACCTGCCCAGGCTTACTTCATTTGTTGATTTTTAATTCAGAGCCCATGTTAACTTTAAACCATTTCCCCCTTCCCCATTTTACAATAATTATAACCTGACTTATTCAAAAAGTTATTTAGATAATAATTTATGACTGTGTAACTACGCCTACTGTATCAAGAGTTTATTAAAAGACATATGTTAATATCAACAGCAGGAGAGACTAAAGTTACGAACTTGGACGATATGATACAATAAATCAATTCTACTTACCTAAACCCAGTTTGACCATTCTGTGTATTCTGTTGGCATGAGATGTGGGATCCTCCAGTGTGAAACCAGAAGCCAATAGAGATGTTTCAAATAATAATAAACATAAGTCCTTTACACTTTTATCATTTTTATCAGCATCAGCCTTTTCTTTTAGTGTTTTGATAATGGGATGATCGGGGTTAATTTCTAAATGTTTCTTGGCGGCCATGTATCCCATGGTGCTCGTGTCTCGTAGTGCCTGTGCCTTCATGATTCGTTCCATGTTTGCCGACCAACCATATTGACTGGTTACAATACAACATGGTGATGATACCAAACGATTTGACACAACAACCTGTATAAATAGAAATACATTTTAAAATCAAAATCTTTAAAAAAACCAGGTTAAAGTCGAAGTGATATCCTAGCTGTTCAAAGGATGCAAAACTGAGGTCCACAGTGTACTCAAACAGTACTTTCAGACCTTGCAGGCAGACACTGACATTGCAACTCTCGACCATAGAAATGATTACAAGCTTGCTCTTTAAATATCCTAAGTAATCTGTTGGTGGGCCTATTCTATGTAAGCAAAAAGACCAAGGCAACATTTACTCATCTACATTCTATAAAATCTTGAAATTATTTAAATATCCTAAGTAATCTGTTGGTGGGCCTATTCCATTTAGAGAGAGAAATGGGGTTTAACGTCCACTCGACACAAACTAGGTCATTTTGGGACTAACATATGGTTTTTAATTATATTTCAATAATTTGCTTGCGCATAGGGGTCTTTAGCAGTGGGAGGAAACCGGGGGACCCGGAGAAAACCCACGAGGTTGGACAGGCGACCCTACTCCTTGTCACGTACAATCGGGGATTCGAAACCACGCCAGTCGACTCAATGACAGACTTCATGATACAGCGCATGCACGCTAACCATTCAGCCATCCACCCCACCCCCATTCCATTTAAGTAAAAAGACCAAGGCAATATTTACTCATCTACATTCTATAAAATCCTGAAATTATTTTATTCAGTCAAAAGTTTCTTGTAAAATCTTGAACTATTTGAACAAGTTTTTCTACATACCTTTTCAACCTTCTTGTCAAGAATTTCTTTGATAACTTTGCATAATCCTTCAAAGTTAGCCTTTGCTTCCTCAAATCGTTTCTTTTCCTCCTCATCTTCGGGTAGTTCAAGACCTTCCTTTGTGACACAGACCAATGTTTTACCATCATATTCTTTCAATTGTTGAATAGCGTACTCATCAATGGGATCAATCATGTAAATAACCTCGAATCCCCTCTTTCGTACTCGTTCAACAAACGCAGAGTTCTGTACAGCATCCTTGGTTTCACCTGTAAATCAACATTCATTTATCTTAATATCTTCACGTATAATAATTTGAGAGATATTTAACGCCCTCGCAAACTATATATAGTTATGTTGAATCTCTAGATAAGTATTAGTCCAAAAATAGTTAAATTCTGTTCTGTCTTAACATTCCGCTTAGTTTTGCAACAACAAATTTGGCTAATCATATTTTCTGCAATTAGGGTGCTACAAAATGTTTCCTTGACAGCAGGCTACAGTGTACTACATTATCAATTGAATGCCAATGTGAACATATGACCTTGTCTTTTTTGTCCCCTTCTAAATGGCTGTAGGCTGTTCCTTGCAAGGCCTATTGTTTACACAACTAAAGGGAAACCACACCAGAAAATCTTGAGAAACATTCACAGCATTTAGCAGAATCTAGGAACCTCCAGATTAGTGAGCCAACAGCATCTAAAAGTTAATTCGAATTAAGGACGAAGAGACTTACCAGTAATGTAGTAGATGGATTTTTGATTTTCTTTCATTCTGGAGACGTATTCTTTCAGAGAGGTCATTTCATCACCTGAGCTTGAAGTGTAATAACGTAATAAATCAGCTAACTTCTTCCTGTTTGTAGAATCTTCATGGATACCAAGCTGTAACACAAAAATAATTTGATCAGATTCTTCTTCATCAAAATTTAAAGAAACATTTATAAGAGTGAGCAAAAGGGAGATAACTTGTCTTTTCCTCAGAATACAAGGACCAAGACAATCACTTTGCCTATATTGGTTACCCATACACCACCCATTTTGTATGTCAAACCGTTGCTTTTGTGTTTAGAATCTCTGACAGTTGTTAGTACATGCATCTTTTGTCCAGTTTTGGTAAATATATTCAATTTAGTGAAAAGTCTACAGAATTGACTTCATACTAGACAGATATTACTTCAAGACATTACAATATGATCAGAACCGCCTACTGAACAGTTGGACGTTCTGCATGAACTGAGCCAATGAAGATAAAACACTGAAATCTCTCCACATAGTTAACATTTCAGATTAATGGAGACAGACTTATAGTCTCAAAATGGTATAGAATAAATATATTAAATATCACAACCTACCTTCAAGTTTTTGCTGAATTGTTCGTAGAATTTCTTGAAATTGTCTTGATCTGCAGCAATATCGTCAAACAGTTCCATGGCTTTTTTCACCAGATTTTTACGAATAACTTTCAGGATTTTACTTTGTTGCAACATTTCACGAGAAATATTTAGAGGTAAATCCTCAGAGTCTACAACACCACGGATAAAGTTCAAATATTCAGGAATAATTTCATCACAATTGTCCATAATAAAAACACGTCTAACGTATAACTTTATATTATTCTTCTTTTTCTTGTTCTCGAACATATCGAAGGGAGCTCGTTTAGGTAGATATAACAGAGCACGGAACTCAAGTTGACCCTCAACTGAAAAATGCTGAAAAATAGAAAAATTATTGTTAAGTCAATGGAAATGAAATTTAACATCCTACTGTTTTGCTCAGACTGGGCTAATTTAGACGGGCATACCCCATACAGTGTGCTATGAGGGAAATTTTGCCCAGACAGCCCCTACTGTTTTTCATACCATCCTAACGACCATACTTGTCCCTTGTAAGGCCCTCTATACTTCAATCACATCGGAAAACAGCGAGCCAACATCTTACTATGTCCTCAATTCAATTGATCTTTCCAACAAAAGGTTAACTGAGGAAGATTAACCAAACAGGCAACCCTACCCCTCGTCAGATACAAGCTCGGAATCAAAACCATGCAACTTAATTCAGACCATTAGGCAAAACAAAAAGACTAGATACCTTAACAGCTAAATGATCTTCCCAATCATTGGTCAATGATTTATAAAATTCTGCGTATTCTTCTTGAGTAATATCATCTGGGTTCCTTGTCCACAAGGGTTTAGTTTTGTTTAATTCTTCATCTTCGGTATATTTTTCCTTGATTTTCTTTTTCTTCTTGTCTTTTCCTGCTTTCTCCTCGTCATCTTCATCTAAATCTTCTACTTTTGGTTTATCTTCTTCATTCTAAAAATAAACAAGACACCAGGATCAATAATATGTTCAACTTTTGCTTTATCCCCTATTCAAATTGATATATTTTCAGTTATTATTCTACTTTTACTTTATTATTTTAGTTATCAGGAAGATACTCTTCATTTATTATCGATCCAATTTGATATTGGAGGTCATCAATGGTTTTGCATGGACAAATGGATAATGGATGTTTCAATGCAGCAGGGGGATTTGACACATTCTATCGCTATCGGAGGGTGGGGCGGAGGAATGCTAGTCCTGAAATATATAATGTAACCAATCAGAAGATTCTCACCTTTTCTTCATCTTTGTCATCTTCCTTTTTCTCTTCCTCCTCTTCGTCGTCACTGACTTCCTTTTCTCGCTCCTTCTCTACTAATAATGTGATTGGATAGCCAATAAACTGACTGTGTTTCTTAATGACCTCTTTAATTCTACGTTCTTCTAAATATTCAGTCTGATCTTCCTTTAAATATAGAGTAATTCTTGTTCCACGAGTCACCTCACTATCTGTAAACAAAAAAACAAAAAAAATTATAAATGGTTAAATACCCATATCTGTCCACTTCTAGCAACATACTTATGCCAGGGACCTCTTCAAAGATTACAGTATGGGTTAGGTATATCAAAGTCAGATTTACTACAACTCCAAAATTTCCAGATATTTTGTGGAGAGCTCAATAAATTTTGACCCAGATAAATGGATGGCACATTTAAAATTCCTTCTCAGAGCATTTTTTGTTTGAAATACTTAAACACATAGGCTATCTGCCATCAACTGGCACATGTCTACTCCCACCACATACAAGCTTAATAACCACTACCAAGACTTAAGACACTTATGAAAAGTTTTGCAATCTATAGCGCTCAAGTTGCACTATGTCATTCAAACTTTTAATAAACAATACAGAAAAGCTAAAAACAATTTGAATCTTTTATCTACTTTATCCTCGAAATATTTTAATTTTCAGTTTCCATGAATAATGTTATAGTTTACTTACTTTCAACATGTTTAACAGTAAAAGATCCACCAGCACAGGATTCCCATAAATAGGCTTCATCATCGTTATTCTTTGACAAAACTACTACTTTATCAGCTACCAGGTAGGCGGAGTAGAAACCTACACCAAATTGACCAATCATAGAAATATCAGCACCAGCTTGAAGAGCTTCCATGAAAGCCTTGGTTCCAGATTTGGCAATGGTACCCAAGTTGTTGACCAAGTCTGCTTTGGTCATACCAATACCAGTATCTTCAATTGTTAGAGTTTTGTTGTCTCGGTCAGGAATGATGCGGATTTTAAGATCTTTACCGCTGTCAAGCTTTGATGGATCAGTTAATCCTTCATATCTGATTTTATCCAGGGCATCAGAAGAATTGGAGATCAATTCTCTGAGGAAAATCTCTTTGTTCGAATAAAATGTGTTGATGATCAAGCTCATCAACTGAGCGATTTCAGCCTGGAAAGCGAATGTTTCCACCTCTCCCTCATCTGCCGCTGGTGGGGGCTGATTCTCCGGCATCTAAAAATCAGAAACAAATTGAAATGATAAAGGGTTTCATGTGCCTGTTCTGCACTAGCTGAACTAATAAAGACAGTAATCAAATAGAATTGTACGCCTTTGACATTATAAAGTTTCTGTCATTAAGTCACAAGAGCAAGAAGTTATTTTTATCTGGGAAAAAGATTCTCTATTAAAAATTGACTTGTCGAGGCAAATCACTTAAGTGGGCGTGACATCCAGATAGATAAGAGCTGAAATGGTTCTAGATGAGTGGACATATGGGATGGGAAGGGGCGTTTTTGTTGGTTATTTTAAAAATAATCAATGTCAAAACAACAAGGACAAACCCCTGTATAGCCTTATTTTCGAAAGTAAAATGTGAGAAATCCAACGATTGAATTGAAAATTTGTCTCGCTTTCAAATTAACTAAAATATAGGATTAACTGAAAGGAATTCTTGCTACAATATAAGAAAATTAAAATAACCATTATGGAGCATCATGGACATAAGAACCATTCGATTGCAATCAGCGTGAAAAATTATTCTCTAATGTCAACCTTGAGAGCCTAAAATTGCTACAACTTTTTGATTCCATGATCGATTTTGAGTATTCGGGTGTCGTTTTGTTTCTTTTTCCAGGATACACCCATTGTAGGGCGACCCACCATAAATAAATATCTCCAAATATCTCGACAATTACGCTACAATATTTATATATATGCCAAGCCTCAAATCAGTTTCACACAATTATAGTCACTAAATAAACGATCATGTTGTACTTAATAAGCTATGACCATTAATCATCTATAAATAATAGACTGAAAACTGGTTCCAAGTGTCGTCCATAACATCCAGACACTTTTGAGTAAAAGATAGGTTATGTGCCCTTGTTTTGAAATTAGTCTCGCTTAACCAGTCTATCGACCATTCTACGTCTGATTGACAGGTCGGGATAATCAAGACTACTTTTTTACGAAACATAACAGAAAGCTAGAACAAGAAATTGAATTTAGAAATAAGCACTTTAGACAACTCAACAATAGTTTTAAGAAACTTGTAAATGTAAAATGAAACTACTGCTAGTATCATGTTCCTGCTAAAGAAAGGATTCAGAGATAGTATTTGTACTAAACCAAAAGAAGCCGCTCTTAAAGGTACAGTTAATGATAAAGCAATTTAAAAAATAAAACAAACGTAATTTCTAAAGCTGCTGTAATAACCAAAAAGCTAAATTTTACTGCTATTCAAAATCGTCAATAGATTTTTTACGTCTGTAATAGTTGATATATTTGTAGAGAATTGCACTTGCCATGGCTATTTATCGACTCAAAGAGAGTGCAGGGTAGTCATAAATCGGTTCGAGACGCGCAACTGAAGCGTGCACATTTAGCCGTGTCGAGACCAACTTTCTGTAGAGTGCACGGGTCACCCTATCCATTGCAATGTTAAATAAAAACAAAAAAATTCCATCACAATTTTTTTTGTCTGGTACCTTACAGTACCTAATTCCTGCCATCCCGAACAAATTTACTACTACAGGACATTCAATAACGTATCACAGTTTTTTTTTTTTTTATTACAACATTCAAGTATGGAAAAGTCGGTTTGATAAATCTTGACAATGATCCCAATTTAAAACACGACACTCTTCGTCTTAGAAGTCATATATGCTCAACGTTAGAATAATCGAGAACCGGTTTCGCTTTCGGCTTGGGAACTTCCGTGATTTCAATTCGGGAACATTCTTGTCTGTAAAATAATCAATACGTGAATTTTGTCGCCTAGAATAAATTAACAAAGTCAATAACCACAATTCCTGGCGCAAACGAAGGAATGATTTGAAAAGCGAGCAAGATTTCTCTTAAATTGTGTTTTTCTCTAGCAGACGACGCATAAAATTGAAGCCAGACACGTCTCAGTCAGTCCACAAAGCACGTGTTTAGAAGAGCGAGTCAAATAAAACAAATTCAAACCATAAAAAAAACGATAGAATTTTTTGAACCTTCCTAAAACTTAAGAATGAAGACTAAAGATTTAATTGCTGGTTAATTTTAATTTGGAATCAATACATACCTTGTAAAAATTTAGGTTTTTAGTTGTTAGTCGCTGTTGCAAATGTTCTCAAAAGCCGCTTGTCTGAGGAGAGAAAGAGCGTAGGTATGAATTTAATAAGACGGTGTAGCGGAACTATTTTTGGAATAAAATTAAATAAACGAAAAGTCACAAATAATATCAACAACGTTTTCCAATATATGCGTCTGTGTCTCGCTTCGAGGTTGCTATCGGTTTGCAAATTACTTCGATGTAAGAAATGTACTTGAATTTATAGACCGAACTATTTCCAGAAGGAGGAGTGAGCCGCTATAAAATAAGAGTAAACTAGTTCCTTCCAGAACATTCTCCGGATGTGACGTCAGTTCTAGAACTCTCTGTCAGTAGTCCTCGTTGTCTAGTCATTTTGTTTTTGAACATTACAATGCGGGGATTCCCATTGCCCGCTTCCAATGGTGGAGGTTGAGGTTCATTTAGGGTACGACAACATATTCGGGATTCAGCGGATGAAGAATATGCCACTTTGTATTATTGCATGACCCACTTTCCAATATATACACAATATAACATACTATTTTATTATATAAATAATATTTTAGCTTAATCTCTAAAAATTATGTGCCTCTGTTTCACCCTGAGAGCTCCCACAGTTGCGAATAATTCAAATTCCGCTGGGTTTCTCCGAAATAGCTACGAACTACAAGTCGATATTTTGTTCTCGGGGTGAATAAACTAAATTCAATTGGATAGAACGTGTAAACAGGAACATGTTTATTCACATTCGTGCTTTGCTGTAAGTAGCGACACGTAATTTCTCGAATTCTCCAGTTAATAATAATGATATAGATCTCTATATGTACGGTAGTCTAAATTTAGGAAAATAAAGATTTGTTGTCGACCTAATTATTCTGCTCATAGTCCTTAATTAATAATCATGATGTATTTTAAGGCCAATTTTAAGGGCATTTTTTGGGCGAGTAAGTATAATAAATAAAGTAATTCGAACACAATGCGCTAGACGAAAATTTTTAAAAAATGAGCTCTTCATTTTTCGAGAATCTGAAAACTAATATATTCCCGTACAATCAAAGGTTATAATCATATGTTTGGTTAACCAGGGCCATGCAGGGAGTATTTTATAATTAATTACAGGATGTTTCAGTCTATTAGATGTGATGTATTAGGCCTATTGTCATATTTCTTTAATGTAACTCGATCAATGCTACATTGCATCTGTTCAGATGTAATACCCTTATAAGGATTTATATAGCCATAGATATGCAACAGTAGATTAATTAACGATAATTTGATTGATAGACATCTCATGATGTTTAGGCTACATCCCATCTGTAATACCCTTATCAGGATTTATAGCCATACATATACAATAGCTAGATTAATTAACGATATAAATTATCGTTAGACATCAAATCCCATTATCAATTCACAGCGTCTTCCTAACTTGTCGAAGCATGTTAATTGTGTGGGCAGTAATACCGGATATACTTGTATGTACACAAAATACAGTTTTATTGCATCGAAACGCCCTTTGAGGATACAAAATACCATGTATACGGTACAAAGGATATGAACAAACACATGTCAATTCAAACGTATATATAGTGGCCTATCGCTATCATTCATTATTTTATACAAAACAAATTAATTTAAATCAAATTTCTGTTAAAAGTAAAAACGAAATTAAATAAAAATCAAACTGAAAATTGAAATAATATTACAAAGTCAAAGTCAAATCCAATTGAAAAGTAAAACGAAATCAAAATCAAAATTAATTTCTTATTAAAAATGAAAAGAAATGGAAGTAGAATGTGAAATGAAAAGTAAAATGAAAATTCTTCGTATCCTATAAAGATAATCATGCATACAATACATATTGAGGGGAGCCACTGCGGCTTGCAGTGAGTAAGACGCTGGCTCCACAGTTTGAAAGTCTTGGATTCGCTCCCGATGGTGGCCGAGAAAGTTCCTCGGGATTTTCCGGCATGGTGTCTATGGTTTCAGTGGTGTAGGACGTAGGGCGTGTTGACAAGGACACCTGTCTAGACGTTCGAATGAGACCCTGTGAACACATTGGTCTACAGGTAAAAGAAACCTAGACAGTTGGAATTCTATATATACAGTAATATAGACCGTAGCACCACTGAGGGCGCATGTTCCTGAAGCGAGTTTTAAAAAAGTGATCAAACTTTCTATTGAAGATGCGGAGGGGGTGGGGTGGCCGAATAGTTAGCGCGTGCACCTTGTATCATTAGGTCTGTCATTGAGTCCACTGGCGTGGTTTGGATTCCCCGGCTGTACGTGACAAGGGGTATAATAGGGTCGCCTGTCCAACCTCTTGGGGTTTCTCCTGGCCCTCCGTTTTCCCCTCACTGCTAAAGACCCTTACGCGGAAACGAACTATTGAAATAAAATTGAACCATATGTTAGTCCCGAAATGACCTAGTGTGTGTGTCGAGTGGACGTACAACCCCATTTCTCCCCCCTCCCCCGTAGCACCAATGTGTGGACAAATTTTCCCTATCTCTTTTTCTATAATTTTTCACCCGTGTAACCCAAGTTACTCTCAAAAAGTAGTGTAGGTAGATAAGAAGATAAATTCAGATGGGACGAAAAACGATGTCCTGTGTACACGTTGGCGTGCATGTAAAAGAACTCTTTACAATTGGAATTCCGAATAAAGGTAGACTGTAGCGCCGCTGTCACGGCAACGTTTCCCTCATAGCATCCAAACGACTTGACATATTTTCCTTTTGAGACACGCTTTTGACGCGTGAACTTGAATTTCAGAAAATAAATTACCCCCCCCCCCACCAAAAAAAAGAAGAATAAAAAAGCACTACTTCACGACATACACGTTGAACCCCTGTATTAAGACCAATTGTATGGATTTGGCCTCAAAATTGTGGATGGTCTTTCTATTGAGTGACATTGTTAGGAGCAGATCGAGACAATCCATGTAGATTTGTTAAAGTAAAACGAGGGGAGAAATAGAGTTTAACGCCAATTCGACACATGAACTAGGTCATTTTGAAACTAACATGGTTCGATTTAATCTTGCGTGTATTAGTCTGGCTATCATTTGATTCAAATTGATTTCAATAATTCGATCACTTGCGGTTAGGGTTCTTTAGCAATGGGAGGAATCCGGAGAAAATCCACGATGTTGGACAATCGGAAAATCGAAACCACGCCACTTGACTCAATGACAGACCTTATGATTTAAAGCGTGCTAAACCAACCGTTCCCATCCGCCACCCTAAAGAAAAACAGAGCCAAATCTATTTGTGAAGGCCAGCTCAATTTTTGTCAAGGTCGCTGAAATGTAAATATAAGGTTAAAACTCGTGATTGTTGGCGAGATTGTAGGTTAGGTTTAGGGTAAGTATTGGAGCTAGGTCCATTATTAGGGTTAGGGTTGGAATTACCGCTAGTCCTGTTTACATCTCGTGACCTACGAAGAAAAATTGAATTGGCCTTATCATTTAGCACTAAACGAAAAACAGTGTTTATTACCGTTGTATTTTATATACAGCACTGGGTTTGCGATTTCTTATAAAACAACACGTTCCCATAAACCACCATATTAAAAACAGCGTATAAATATATCGTGTGACAACTATGAATGACAGTTAATACTAGACAGTGTTATAACTAATAGGTTATATAGTGTTACATCACTTATATACGGTTGACTGACGGATTGTCAAAAATTTACATTCTTTATCCATCAACGACAAACAGTAGGAGCGCAGGAGACTGTCTGACGGTTCTGACTTTCTGATTCACCAAAATAATGCACAATCCCATTGCAGCATGCACACCCTGCAGCCTAAAGATTGGGACATATTATTCAGTTACAACAAGAGTGGTATTGAGCCTTTAACAATTTCCCCTTCTTCTTCCAGGTTAGGAACCGAATTCAGATTTAAATCAAGTTGGTTCCTCGAAAAACTAAACGGTGACGCCATATTCTTATCTTGACAGCATGCGCAATAAATACATGTACCATCGGTGTAGACTGGAATAACCAGACGCTAGTGACTGTCATTCGATTGCGGAGACTTCGGACGTATTTCGCCGAACATAACTGATTCAAAATTATAGTAAAAAACAGAAACGATTGAACCTAAATAAGTTTATATACATTCGTATTACATTATTATATGCGTTGCGACCCATTTGTGTCCATTTCTAGGTCTCAAATATTCGAGATTTAATACATATTGATACTGCAGTTTATATTGATTTTTCTTAATGTCTTGCTCGAAACATCTAAATACATCTACACTCTCCCGCACAGACATGCATATTTATGAAATCATCACTCCATGGCTCTAGTCAAATATTATGCGCATTTAAATAATGAATGGTATGTCAACATCAAAGGGTGACGCCACACCTGTATTTCAAATAGATTGAATTACATACATTTCTATACAAGGGAAAATAATCAGAGCAGATTTTATAAACTCTGGCGACCACTCGAGTATCTTTTATCGAGGTACGGCAATGATGTCATATTGTTCTGGTTGCATTGTCACTCCCGTCTGCTTTCCTTCCAAAGACGGCGATTTTCGTCCGTCCGGAACTTTAAACTGGTAGCGTGGCAACAGATTGGCAGCAAACAGGAATAGCTCCATGTAGCTCAGAGATTCTCCCATGCACGCTCTTACACCTGCAATACAAAACATGATTACATTTTCTCATATATATATTTGAGTTTTGTTAAAATTGAGTGGCCTTACCGGTGCAGCTATATAGTCTTGAGGGTCCCCCCCCCCCACCACACACACACACACACGCCCTCCCACCATTTTCTCTTTTGTATTATGACCGCTTTACGTCAGTGTTCAGGATTCTGAATCCCTTGCAAAATGGAATACCGTGGAAGTTGGGAATCTCTATAACGAATAACAGTCCAAAAATGATTCAGTTTCGTTGTTCGTATTTACAAAGATACGGGGGAGCCGGTGTGGCTCAGTAAGTAAGGCGTTGGCTCGCTAACCAGGAACTGTCGGGTCCACTGACGTTATTGGTCTCGATAGTCCCTCGTAATTTTCCGGCGTGATTTCCCTCCACTAACCCCTGGGTCCATTCACGGGAGAGACACATAGTCAAATGACCAATCAAAAATAGAAAGCGAGTGGGCAAAGGGAAGTAATTCGAATTTTGTTGATACTAAGACGAACAAATCGTTGTTGTAAACTTTGTCAGAATACTTTAGGACATCTCTCCTTTGAATGGACCCTGGGGTTAGTGGAGTAGAACTGAACAATATCACCAGGGGATACGGAGGATGAAAGAACTATTGACAACTGGAATTCGAAACAAAAGTAGGCCGTTGCGCCACTGCCAGGTCAAAATTATAGCACACTGTATGGTGTATGCCCGTCTTCATCATACTAATTGCATGACAAACGAGGCTATCAACACGAATACAATGTAAACAATACTGTTTGAAAAAGAACAATATTTTCACCGTTTTTAATACCTTAAATCACTGTCCAAAGTTTTAGGGAAGACCCCAGATTAAACGAAGGGCTGCCATGTTGCTGTATTTGGGATAGATTCGATTAAACGGGAAGAATAGACACACCGCCTCAAAATCTCAAGTATCAGACGCCAACCCAGCAATGGCCAGAGAGGGATTCCTCGACCCATTGCTTCAGGAATATGGTCTTCATTAGCCGGCCTAAAACTCATTTCATTTCCTTTATCTACCACAATATCATGCGAAATCAGATTTAAAAAATGCCTATTTTGTACAGGTTAATATGAATGAGTATTATCCAACTCATTGGGGTCGAATGGTTCAACGCGTGCGTGTTAGATCATGAGTCAACTGGCTTGCAATCATCGCTTGTATGTGACAAGGAGTAGGGTCGTCTGTCCCACCTCGTGGGTTTTCTCCGGGTATTCCGGTTTCCTCCCACAGCTAAAGACCCTTACGCGCAAGTAATTTATCGAGATAAAAATTGAACCACCTCTCTCCAACTCTCACCTCCTCCAAACGGCATAAACGCCCGGTGTTTGATCATTTTACCATCCGGTCCAATCCATCGATCCGGATTAAATTCTTCCGGATTATCCCAGTAATCTGTATCAAAATGAGCTGATTTAATGTGGCACAGGACCATGGTATCCTTTTCCAGGGTGTAACCGTTTATCTTGAATTCTTCACTTACAGCTCGTGGTGGGGTTGTGGGTGCTGAAAATATATACAAATATCTTCTCTACTAATATTTGTGACTGTCGTTTGTCTGTTTGTCTGTCTGTCTGTCTGTTCGGGGTTCGCGGCTACACTAGGTCTGCCCCGAGTCTGAAATTTGGGGTATAGGGGTAGCTCGGACCGGGGAGTAACATAGGCCAGAGAGAGAGAGAGAGAGTAAAGTCCACTCAACACTAGCAACTAGGACATTCGGGACTAACATATGGTTCAATTTTATTTCAATAATTCGCCCAGAGGACCCGGAGAAAACCCACGAGATTGGACAAGCGACCGTACTCCTTGATGATCTTGAATGACTGAATGACAGACCTTATGACCTAAACCCCCATCTCTAAAATGAACATCAGATCAAAATGGTTTAATTCCGTGCAGTTTCATCCGAGTAAATTTATATTTTACCTATACAAACTACACGAAGTACTTCATTCAGGAATGCCATGAGATAGACCAGATCAACTTTATCCGTTAGATTAACCAGTCTTCCATCTCCGGCTACCTGCAAGACATAAAGAAATGGATCGGGTTAATTTCCTAGGGTTATAATGAACACGCGGCGCGAGAAATTTTGTTCGGATAGCGAAACTACGGCCTACTCCTATTTCGAGTTCCAACTACCAAGCGTTTTTTTAAGTGCACACCAACGTGTACACGGGACCTTCGTCCTGCATCGTTGACAAGTAGAAACCACGCTGAGGAATTCGGAGGTAGGTCTACTTTCTCGCCAACGCGGAATCGAACCCTGTACATCCTGGTTAGTGACCTAGGCTAGCATCTTTAGACACTGAGCCACCGCAGCTCCCCAGGAATAAAGGAAATACTGTTATATCTTGGTTCGCCGGGTTAATGCCGATCTGGATGAAGTAAGAAATATAACACCAATTGGAATAGATGCTGGAATATCTGGGTTAATGAAGTCGGGCATACGCCATATCGTGTGCTTTGAGAGAAACATTGTAGCACTATATACGGCTTACTCTTATATCAAACTGTCACGAGTTCTTTTACGTACATGCCAATGAGTACACGGGACTTCGGCATTTCGTACCATCTGAACGTCTAGAGTAAGTCCCTTGGTAAAGTCTTTGACCTTTTTTGAAGAACGTCGCCCAAAACAAGAAGATGAGTGGCGCTGGGCCCAGTTCCTGGTTTTAAGATTCGACCTATTTAACTAAAGTTATTTATAGACTGACCTGCATGATGTTCTGATAACACTTCTCTTGTATCTGAGGATAACGTATCCAGTATAACATTACCCACCATAGAGAGGTCGCAGTTGTTTCTGATCCAGCTAAAAACAGATCTACTGTTACCCGAAACACATCTTTCTCACTCACTGAAACAAAAAAATACATTTTTCAAATTCAACTGTAAGCAAATAGGCTGTGTAGGCCTATCTCATAGGCGCATCCCAGGCTATATAGGCCTATCTTACAGGAGCATCCCAGGTTGTGTAGGCCTATCTATAAGAGCTTCCCAGATTGTGTAAGCCTATCTTACAGAACATTCCACAATCTCTAGGCCGTTCTTAACAACCCTGCCGATATTCTGTATAATAAGGATTAAGGAACGTCTCCTTCAAATTGTAAATATAAACTGACAAGGACTGAATTAAATTAAACTGTTGATCAAAACTAGACTATGAATGGTCGTGAACTTTGCATTGTCTCCAACCAGGCGTGCAAACAATTTTCCGGAAACAGATCATAGTATCCTGTCACGGGAGGAAGCCATGGTCTCTGGATATCATTTTCACTAAACGCCAACGGAAGTCTTGTTGAGCTGATCGACTAGAAATCCACATGTACATAAATAATAGTAAAATCTAAAAGTTAAGGTCCCCTGCAGATCTCCGTAAATTGGATTAGGACGCGTGATTGTTGGCGAGATTGTGGGTTAAGGTTAGCGCTAGGCCTGTTAACATCTCAAGACCTTTGACCAAATCTGCAGGGGGCCTTAACATTTAGAACTAACCCCAATAAATAACACTTTGTAACAGTGATACTAATACTAATACTACTGCACTACTACTACTACTAATACTACTACACTACACTACTACTACTTACCACTACTTGCTAGATAGAGGTTCACTTCCATTTCATTTCAGTAGACAAGTTATAAATACACGCATTATACATACCTTTAAATGCTTGCGTTTCATCTTGACAAACTTTTAGATACATGTCAATAAAATCACGTGTTAATGTTGGATCAAAACTCTGGCGATGTTCTTCAATCTTTTTTAAAACAAATTTCTGGATTTCTTTATCATTATGAATCATTTTCTGAGCCTTTAAATACAGTGATATAATAAAAAATTGTTATCAAAATATAGTTACATCCACCCGTTCATACAATTCTATGGATAAACAGGTCCGGATCATTGCAAACAAAATGACGATGACAGTAAAGCGCTGGTGTCGAATTTTCAGTGTGGTTTCCAAAGTTAGTGGTGCAGCACGGATGGTTTGGGAAGGAAATGGCGTCTAGTAGCATTCTGCACACAGAGATCCATCTACTTCATACGTCGAGAATAGATCTCTGACCTAAATGGCCACCATATCCAAAAATTAGTAAACTGTTTTGTAATGCGGTTCTACCCTGTTTCACATCTGTCACACACACAAAGACTAAATAAAATTTTCCAATTTTATTAAATGGAAGTATAATAACTACTTAACAAAATTCTTGAATTATACATATAGTGTTTTCGACTAAAATCGTCAGAAGTGTGAATGCCATGCACTTGTATGAATGACATGCTGTGGAATGATACCATCTTTTGGAAGTGTCAATGAAATGAGCACCTCGGTGTTGTTGAAAGTGGTTCTAAAGTGAACACTTTGCTTGAAGTGTTCATAGAAAGAAGAAGTGTGTTAGAAATGAACACTTCAGAGGAAGTGAACACTTCATTTCGGTACGGGGTCGGGCTATCTTAATGATATGGAATGAACTTGTAATCTCCTCATCGGAACATATTATTTTCGTGAAATAGTTGAGACGTCTATACCATTCGATGTTAAACTATCTACCGGTTTGTTTCTCCGTAATTTGGCCATGAGCGGAAAAAAGTTCTCTGGATCGGAAACCCCACCATTTTCAAACAGGAAATTAAACTCGGGATGGCTATTTATAATCGAACCTGAAATACTATTCGATGTTATTAATGTTAAACCACCTACCGGTTTGTTGCTCCGTAAATTGGCGATAAATGGGAAGAAGTTCTCTGGAACGGCAACTCCGGCATTCTTGAACAGGAAATCGAGGTGATCCAACAGGAGATTGAACTCGGGATCGTCATGGTCGAACCTGAAAAAATTAAACCCTCTTTACAGTTTTCAGGGGCGAAGTGAAGGGGGCGTAACCACACCGAATATGATATAAGAAATGGACTTTTGTATTGCTTGTACCGAGAACAATTTAAGAAAATGGACTTAACTTGTACGGAACACAATTTAAGCGAATGCACTCACCAAACACTGAACATAATTGAAGAAATGTACTTACCTTGTACCGAACACAATTATGAAAACGAACCCACCTTGTGCGAAGCACATTTTAACAAGATGGGGTCACCTTGTATCGAACATAATTTAAGAAAATGAACTCAACACAATTCAAGAAAAAATGGAATTGTCTTGTACTGCACACAATTTAAAACAATGGACTCACCTTGCACAGAACACAATTTAATAAAATGGACTACTCACCTTGTACCGAACACTATGGTACAGATAATATTGGATACAGCTTTAGCTAAGAAAGGTTTCGGGTCAAAGGCCCGCCCTTTCATTTCGTCAATTTTTTCAGCCATAATTATACACTCCTCCTGAATCCTTTCCTCCAGACTTTTCTTTCCAACCCCAAAATCTCTTAAAGTCACCAAGGTAAATCGTCTCATGTTTTTCCATGTTTCTCCATTGCTCCAGAAGACACCTGGTAAAATTATTACGTTCGCTCGTTAGTTTGGGTTAAAGTTAACTTACGCCAATTTATTTATGATATAAAATCGCGTCCGGATAATGGTAATTACTATTTTTGGACACGAAAAGCTGACTTACGCTTTACTATTTACAGAAGTAATGAGAGTAGCTTTCAGGCGAGTAATTTGCACCTGAATTTGATTTGCATCTGAATTTGATTATCTCCCTTTATTCGAATATTTCTTAGGATCTTAAATAACGTTAAACGTTGCTGTTTGGGGACTTAACGATCAGATGTAGTAATGGGCCGCGGAGGTACCGGATAGCGCGGGGTCAATATGCTAATTTAGTAATGTACAGATGAGAAAGTAAAGATACTAATGTAGTAATGGACCGTGGAGGACAAGATACTATATATATATAATGTACAGACGGGGGAGGGGGGGGGGGGTAGTAGTAGTAATGGGCATAGGGGAGGTCGTGATGCTTTTGGTATGCGTTGTGACCCATTTGTGTCCATTTCTAGGTGCTGAAAAATAACAATTTAGCTCCTTTAACAGAACTCACCTGATTTATTGAAGATTTTATCGATGATATACAGCCAGTTTGGTCTGTTAGATACACAGTGTCCTTGATCTATCAAAACCTCTCTGATAGTCTTGTATCCACAAACAACCACCAACTTCACTGAACCAACAGAATACATAACAACATCCCCGTACTTCGCACGATTTTTCAAAAATACCTTCCATAAATCTACTACTCCAGCTAATTGGGGCATATTACCCAGGATAGGAAACGCAAAAGGCCCAGGAGGAAGCTTGATGTGTCTTCTGTTGAACTGTCGATATGCCCAGTAGATCCCCAAGAAAGAAGCACCAAACACAAGAGCTGTTCGCACATTGGCTTGCTGTTTGATATCGCTCATATCCAAATGAAAGTTCTTCAAACTTATGTCCAACGCCGGCATTTTCATTTTAATCTGCTGCCGTATTATTTTATAATACTAAATCTTATCAACTGAAAAAACAATTTTCATAAATCGTTTCCTTTAAAGGCTCAATACCACTCTTGTTGTAACCGAATAATATGTCCCAATCTTTATTCTGGTCAACAAATTGTACTATTTTAGAATATTTCAATTAATTGATGTTACAAATTTCATCTTAACACACCTTATTTAGAAATTTTGAAAGATTCAACATAATGGTTTGAAACGTCTAACGTAAACCTTTTCAAATGAAACTTCGATTTAAAAATATTTTCGAACCCTCTGGACAAGTAAAATAGGATGTAATGGATAATTTACACAACAAGGAAGGGACACAAGGCGTCTTGTCGTTTGGATGGGACACAAAACAGACGCCAATCCGTATACTCGTTGGCGCGCACGTAAAAGAACCCATATCATTGGGAATCCCACGACACAGCAGTGTACCATCTTTAACACACTCTTCGCAGTGCCACTTTAAATGAAATAATATGGGGAGAGGGGGAGAAATGGGGTTTAACGTCCACTCGACACAAACTAACTCATTTCGGGACTAACATATGGTTCAATTTTATTTCAATAAGTCGCTAATTGCGCGTAAGGGTCTTTGAGAATGGGAGGAAATCGGCGGACCCGGAGAAAACCCACGTACAAACGGGGGAATCAAAACCACGCCAGTAGTTGGCTCAAACACAGAACTTATGATACAGCGCGCACGCGCTAACCATTCGGCCATCCAATCCCCCAACCCAATAATAACTCCGCAATTTTCATTGTCCCTATAGCTCCCTCATCTTTACCTAAATTTTATACACTGGAACTCTACGTCTACTTAAATATCGTTTATGAGAAGTGGTAGAACTGTCAGGTGTTCTAATAAACGTAATAAACATACCTTGGCTTGTACATAACACCCGTCGTTGACAGGAGCAATAGTCTGGAATAATTACTAGAGAGAATATTTAAAGCTGTCCACCTTTGTCTGTGTGTTCTGCTATTTTACTAAAGCAACAATACATCAGCCGTGTTGCTCTCTCAGCGTGTGTGTTAAAACTGGCAAGCTGTGTTGTTATGTGTTTTATATATTTGACCTGTTAATCTGGTGTCCTATATAGTGACCCCTGTGTGTGTATGTATAGCCTATATCGGTACAGTTGTTGATCTAGTGTATTGCGTATGCACTAACGTTGATGTGTAATCTCTTTTTTAACCCTTGTGGGAACCGCGGTGGCTCGGTGAGTAATACACTAGCCCGGAGTAGCCTTGTTAGTGGTGCTGGACGGAAGACAGACCTGACAAGGACAGTTGTCTAGTCGTTCAGACTGCACGAAAAACTGTGGGCCTGTGTACACATTGGCGTGCACGTAAAAGAACCATTGACAGTTTAATACGATATACGATATAAGAGTAGGCTTTAACGCCGGTGTCCAGTCAAAATGCCCGTCTTCATTAGCCCAGTCGGCGCAGATATGTAGGACATTAAACACCATTTCTTTACCCATGCACACAGGACCCGCGACATAGCGAGGGTGAGTCCCCCCACTCCCAACCCCCGACACGGAAATGTTTGAAAGATACATGTTCTCTAGCGTCATTTTGGTGTATTTCTGGGGTAATTAAGGGTCACTTTTACTAAAACTGGATTCAAACGGATGTGGGCCCGAATAGTCTACCCTGACGGTGACGAGAGCCTCAGACGGATCGGGATCCACGACGTGAAGACACGAGAGGCTGGCTTATAGTTTTTGATTCACCAACTTTTCAATTTTTCCAAAAACAGTGGTCTCACAGAATTCGATTCTAATCCTGTAACCACCACGCCACTGTACCCACATTAAAACATTAAAAAAGTCACGGATTTTCTTCTTCTTTACGATTAAGTTAGCTGTATGTTTTTTTATATTAATTTATACCATTAATTACAAAAACAATTACTAGGCATACCTGCGGGCCCCTCTAGGCACCGAGCCCCTGGACAAGTGTCCCAGCTGCCCCCCCCCACTCTCTCTCACAGAACCTATTGTTATATGTATTGCTTTGTTGTTATTGCTATTGGTTAGTGTTTAACGTCTACTTCTACAATAAAATATATCGCAGTTACGTTACAGTTTACTTTTTTGCGGACATGCTACACTGTTAGAAATAAATGTTAATTTACCGTAAGAATGGGAAAAATATTTACGTAGTTGTATGTTATTTTACAAATGTATGTTTTATTACACCAAACAGGAGTGATAGTACAAATAGTCGTAAAAAAACATATTATACAGGTGATTTTACCGTGAAATAATATATTTTTACATACGTAACGTCAAAATACAGTAATGTTCAGTGTATTCAAACCATAGGAAGATGTACCGTAAACCACCAGGTAAACTGTCAGAAAAGTATGTAAAATTACAGTAGTACAAGGGTTTTTTGTACCTCAATTATCGGTATATTTTACAACATATACTACTTTTACCAAGTCTAATGTATTTTTACCGAGTTTCAAGTATGTTTATCGAGTTTCATGTCTTTTTGACAATAAGTGCCGATGGAATCAAGGACATATTCAAAATCCTGTAAAAATACATATAATGTAATAAAATTGAACTGAAAGTAACGCAGCAAGCGTGTAACTTTACAGATTTTACGTTTGTTCACATTATTATGTAATTTACTTTTAGGTAAGAAATATAAGTAAAATTACAGCAGTTAAAGAATTTGTTTTTACCTTAAAATATTGAACGGAAAATAACATAGCCAGCATGTCATTTTACAGACTTACGTTTATTCACGTTATTTTGTAAATTTACTTATTCGGTAAATTTACTATCTCTTATTGTATTTTAGTATTCCATAGAAACGAAACATTCCTAATAAGTATCTTCTTATGGTATTCATTTCAATTTATTAACCATAATATGGACAATCACATCTTGTAAATTTAGTATATTGCATGTCAGGTATATCTAGTTTCCATTATTTATAAGATCTATAAAGTGTATTGATATTTAGCGTACGTTAATCAGTTTGTAAGTATTTTCTTAAATGCATAAAAAAAAAATGTTTTGAATTTCTGGCCGTAGGTTGTATTATCTCGTTTTCAAGTTCACTTGAAGAAGGTAAATTAAACCGATTGGCCTGACTGTCTGTAAAGCAGAGTTATAATGCCTGCAAATAGATAGTACCGCGAGCTTACATCTGAAAGCCTGGAACCATGCTCTCGTCTACCAAACAGGATTATCGATATTCAATATATATTGAAGTGATATTAATACGAAATATTTTACACCGGGGCTATTGCTCGAATCTTGCATGTAAAATTACCAATATTAGTATTTTTAACAAAAGTGTAAATTAACAGTGTGATGTATTTTTACAAGAAATGTAAATTAACATTGTGATGTATTTTTACAAGAAATGTAAATTAACAGATATGTCCTTCTACAGTAAATTGTTAAATAACTAATGGTGTAATTTTACCTATGATTTAGGGGCAACTTTTGCTGCCCGTAATTTTACTGTAAAATAACCAAAATATTTCTAACAGTGTAATCCGGTGTCCTATATAATGACCCGTAGAGTTTTATTAAGTAATCTCTGTTTATGAGTAACGC